CATTCTAGGACTCTTAGTTTCGTCAACTGTAAAAAAGAGGATAATAATGGCTGCCGTGCTTCCTGTCCTCAGGATCAAAAGAGATAATGGGCATGAAACTACTTTATAAGTCATAAAGTCAGCGAATGAGCATAAGGGATTACTGTTATTAATGCAAAATGTGCTGCAAGGAGCCTCCCAGACCAACCTTTTCCCTGCTTCTCCAGCTCAGCTTGAAGTCTCCCAATTTGGTGCTGCCGGGAAGCTCCCAACCTTTGGGTCTTCCCTTCCTTGCAGTGCCTGGCATGGGGGAAGGCAGCTGGGAGACAGGCCCACCCCAGAGCCTCTGGCTGGCTTGCTCCTGGCTTACACCTCCCACTCCCCCAACAGGTGAACAGCGACAAGGTGTACTGGCAGCGGCAGGATGATGGCAGCTTCAAGATTGTGTATGTGGAGGAGAAGGCCATCGGCTCGCTCATCATCACGAAGGCCATTGGCTCCAACATGCAGGAGGAAATCACCCACCTCTATAAACACCCAGAAGGTATTATTCCCCAACTTGCCGGGTTCTGGCTATACTGTGTTCCTGCTGGACACTTGCCCACTTTGGCAGTAGCTGTCATCTCACCCTTGACCTTTAACCCCCAGGCTCAGATGCAGAGAGGAAGGCAGTGGAGACAGCAGCCGCCCATGGCAGCAAACCCAATGTGTACGCTACCCGGGACTCAGCTGAGGATGTGGCCATGCAGGTGGAGGCACAGGATGCAGTGATGGGGCAGGGCCTGACGGTCAGTGTGGTGCTGACCAACCGTGGCAGCAGCCGCCGCACCGTGAAGCTGCACCTCTACCTCTCTGTTACCTTCTACACGGGTGTCACCGGGCCTGTCTTCAAGGAGAGCAAGAAGGAAGTAGCCCTGGCACCAGGGGCCTGTAAGTGCTCTTTCCCCCGTCCCACCTCCTGGATGACCTGGTCACCCAGGACTGTGGACCTAGGGATGCCAGGACACCTTTTCTGGGGAAGCAGCCATAGTGACACCATGTCTCTCCTCCCCAGCCGACCGTGTGTCCATGCCCGTGGCCTACAGGGAATACCAGCCCCACCTCGTGGACCAGGGGGCCATGCTGCTCAACGTCTCTGGCCACGTCAAGGAGAGTGGGCAGGTGCTAGCCAAGCAACACACCTTCCGCCTGCGTACTCCAGACCTCTCCCTCACAGTGAGTGCAGCTGCCTGGAGCCTGAGGGGTGCTGGGGGCTGAGGGAAATCAGAGGGGATGGGGAGTGGGCATTAAGCTGGGAGCAGGCGGGCCTGGCAGCTATTCCAGCTAAGATAGTTGAGGACCGGCTATGGGCTCATGGGCCTCATTTTCCTCAGATGTAAAAATGAGATGTTATATCACTGGGTCTGTGGTAGTTTCAGTTGGACAGTGGGTTGGAGTCTTCTCCCTGGTTTTTGAGGAGTCTTTTCTCAGGGGCAGAAATGTGGGACTCAGGGGTTTCGATTCTGAGGCACTCTCCCTCTCAGGTGACGTTACAGTCCCTGTATTCATTCAGGGTCTCTGATGGGGGGCTTCTTTTTCTCACAGTTATTGGGGGCAGCTGTGGTTGGCCAAGAGTGTGAAGTACAAATCGTCTTCAAAAACCCCCTGCCTATCACCCTCACCAATGTCGTCTTCCGGCTGGAGGGCTCAGGATTACAGAGACCCAAGATTCTCAACGTTGGGTGAGTCTGGTCTCTCCTCCCTCCATGCTGCAGCCCTTGCCTGAGTCCCAGCTTTGCTTGCTGGGTACCATCTGTCAGGGTCTGACAAAGCAGCTCGGGGCCGGCCAGCGCTGTGGCCTGACACTTCTGTCCAACAGCAGGAGGAGGTGACCTGCTGTGTGGGCATGCTGCAGTCTGTGTCCCACCCCCACCCCATCTCATTTGGGAACTAAAATTTCACATAGGAATCATTAGCAACATCACTAATATTTGCCTGGGCCCCAGGAGTTGACCAGGCCCTTTTGGAAACATTATCTCATATGGAGATCACAAAGACCCTTTAAAGTATACCAGAAATCATTGTATGGTCAAGAGCAAAGCTTTGGGATCCTAAGGACTTGGGATAAGTCCCAGCTCCTTTCTCACTACCTGGTGCCCTTGGGCAAGTGACTTATCTCCTCTAAGCCCCAGTTTTCTCACCTATAAAGTGGGGATTAAACAGTTCCTGGCTCTAAGGGTAGCTGTGAGAATTAGATGAGGCAATAACTGTTTGTTGAAGTGCTCACAAAGTCCTCTATTGGATGTTGTAGTTATTTTCATTATTGCCATCATCCGCATGTTACAGATAGGGAAGCTGGTGCCACCTCTCACAGGGTCTCACTGTCTATACAGGGCAGACTCTGCTCTCCCCACTATGGCAAGCAATGCGCACAGGTCTTAGGCTTGTTGCTTGGTTTGTGCCATGAAGGTGAAGCAGCAGCTCCAGAGGAGAGGGCCCCCAGCCTCAGGCCCACATGAGACCTCCTGGCTGGGTCCCGGGCTAGGCAAGGACCTGTGCCCAGGGAGGGTACCCACAACACTGTGCTTCAGGGCCTATGCCGTCCTCTCTGACACATCCACGCGTGCTCTCCTGTCGCTCTCCAGGAATAACACAGAGGAAAAGCAGAGAAGGCCAAGGCTAAACTTTAAGCTCAGCTTCCTGGGGAGAGAGGCAGTCCCCTCCTTCTACACAGAGCACCTGAGGGAAAGCAATGACCAGTGTTAGAGTTGGGGGAAAGCAGAGGGTCTCTGAGCACTCTCTCCACCCTCCCTTCACACACAGCAGTCTTTGTGTATGAAGGGTACTGTGCTGAACTTTGCCCCAGCTTGGAGCCCTGGATAATGTGACATTTTACAAAGGAGTGTTTCCTCCTGTCGCCTACAAGGGTCTGTGGCAGCTTAGAGAGTAGTTTGGGAGCCCCACATAGCTCACCCTGCAGGCATCTCACAACTGCAGATGATGGGGCCTGAGGGATTCCCAAGGTGAACTCCCCTCAGCAGCTCCCCCAGGCCTTTGCTTCTTGCCCCACTGTGGGTTAGGAGAGCACTGTGCTGGCACTGGAGACCTGGCCCTCTCACAGTCTCGGGTCTTGCGTGAGCCTTTCCCCACCCAAAGGCCCATCTTCCCACCAGTGAGTGAGACGGTTGAAGGATGACTTTTCAAGGCAGGTCCTCACATTCTGTGGCTCCTCAGTGACTATGAACCCAGACTGGGACCTCCCTTTTCAGTTGAGAGCCCCAGGGTGACAGTCCTGAGCTGTTGGTTGGGATAAATTGGATTCCAAGATGGGTGTTTACTTTGCTCTTATTTGTACATCAAAGGCTGCGGCATGGAACTCCATTATAGCAAAAGGTGTGCCGCCCAGCCTGGTGACTGGCCACTTAATAAACATTCCAGAACTTACTCCTCCAGCTGTTGTCACCGCCAAAACAGTCACTAAGGGAGTTGAAAAGTCTGTTCCAAATCCTTCTTGGGAATTTCCCCCAAAGCCTGAATCATAGTCTCTAGAATGTCTATAGGGTGACTTTATTGGGGGATGGATTTAACTTTAGGGGAAAAGCCTGAGCTAAGACTAATTAAAAGGTAAGGGGACAAAATAAGGGTAATAATAGAATTAGAAATGGAGCTTGGCTATAAAGGATACTGTGTGTGTGTGTGTGTGTGTGTGTGTGTGCATGTGTGTATGTATGTATGTATGTATAAGACAGAGAGAAAGAGAACATATGATGTGTATGGTTTTAAATAGCTCTAAAGAAAAATTCCACATAAAAAAAAATGTCTCAAGCACTGGCATCATAGTTGAACAAGTATGTAATTGAAAGACAGTGCTAACTGGATGTCTAAGTTCTGGTGTCCTTATCAGAGAATTGGTTTCACTACCTGGGCTTAGTTACAGGCATATTCCAGCTTGGTCAGCTGATGTGCTCAACCTACACTCACGTGTAGGTGTGGCTAAGGTCTCACATGACACTTAGACGGGCAGGGAGAGATCTCAACATCTCTAACTGGAACCTGGAAACCAATTTCTCCTGGAAATAATGGCATAAAGAAAAGGCTAGCTTCTGAAGTGGTGTAGTTCCATTATAGTGTGGATTAACTACACTGGTGTAGGCTGGTCTGAGCCCATATAGCTTTAACTTTGTGTCTGTGGAAAAGTAGGCACAAATTAAACACACAAATGTGTAACCATCCAGAGTATAGCCTACCTGTTACACTAATAGACTGAATTTCTAGTTACATATTATGGTAGGAAGTTGAGAAATCAAGCCTATAACTTAACAGGCAGGTTGTATATAGACAGACATAGAGATACAGATATATAGATTTGTATTTGGACTTATTCTGTTCTCTTTTTTTAAACTGCTTTGTGGCTTTCCTGGCCAGTTCTCATTATCATGGTAGGAACAATGGTTTCTCTCTCTCTCCCTCTCTTTCTCTCTCTCCCCCCCTTCCTCTCTCCTTGCTCCCCTGTTTTCCTCCTTAGTGAAGCTCAGAGGCACCTTCAAAACCATTTGATCCACATCCTTATTTTCTATTCACTTCCATTTTCCAGACCAAAAATTTAGGACCAGAAAGTTTCAGTAACTTGCCCTAAGCCACACTGCTAACAATAGTAGAAGGACTAGCATGTGGTCCAGGGCAGTCCCTTGGAAGCAGACTCCAAGCTAAGTGTTTTGCCTCAAGGACAGCTTGTCCCCCAGTTGGGGTGCTGGCTCAATCCCTTGGAGTGCCGCGGACCAGTCCAGCAGCGGCGGGGAGATCGAGGCAATCTCAGGGATTGAGCGAGAACGAGCACGAGGTGGTCGAAGGATTCGGGCGGAAGAGAAAGAAAGAAATGACACACAGACACACTCTAAGGGAGTGAAAATCTGAGTGTAATTTCTTTCTTTCTCTTCCGCCCGAATCCTTCAACCACCTTGTGCTCGTTCTCGCTCAATCCCTGAGATTGCCTCGATCTCCCCGCCGCTGCTGGGCTGGTCTGCGGCATTGGAGGACTGAGTTGTCTACACAGGGTCAGGTTCCAGAGAAGGGTCCCCAAAGAGAGCTTAGGTTGAGACAGGGGCTAGAAATAAGGGTTTAGGCAGACGCCAAAAGGGACAGATGTTGGCAGGTTTGACTTCAATTCAGTCATGTTCAGTGTATAAAGCACAACATGCAGATGGCTGGAGGAGCTCTGAGGAGAGAGTCATTTTCCTGAGAGCAGGAGATGCTCAGGGAGCTCTCACTGATGAGGTGGTGTGAGCTAGGCCTGGAGACAGCCCAGGTGAGTTCAGAGTTCACCAGAAAGAGCCGGTGGGCTGGTGGGCAGGAGGAATGGTAGGGGCTGATGGGGCTCTGCAGGTGGAAGGGGCTGAGTCAGAGCAAGCCAGCATGTCGTGTTAGGGAGCTGTGGTCTCAAGGAAGCCAAGCCCTTGAAGGGATTAGTTCACCTCTAGGCAGTCTGAGAATAGAATGGAAAAAGTAGATGAGAGGCAAGGAGGCAAAATTGTGATTTCCAGAGGGGTGGTTTGGGAATAGATTTTTCAGAGGTCCACAGACGGGAATAAAGACACTATAGTGTCTGTCTCTGTCTCTCTCAGCCTCTCTCTCTCACATACACACGAGAGTTGTGTCAATTTAAAGATGCCAGTTGCCTGCCCTTAGGAAGACTCTTCCCTTTTTTCCTGGGATAACATCCTTCCACTGTTTTGAAATATTCAAATGCTCCTTTTTTGTAAAGGTGATTGTCACAGAGGACAATTGCTTTTCTTCCATTTTCTTAGTTAGCAAGACAGAAACTAGTTGGTAATACCGTGTTGAACCCCAAAGTCTCCTTTTGGTTTCCTTGCTCTTGGAACCCCCAGACAATATGGGGAATGGTTGGTTAGGGAGGAGTGCCGGCAATGGGGTGGAGGGGGAGGCAGTGCAGCAATCTCTGTCCAGGTGTCTGTGGGAGTGGGGAGGGAGGAGTCAAATGACAGCGATTTCCAGCTCAGTCCCGGGTGGGTGGCTACAGATCTGACTGTGGAGGCGGCTTGGGACTCAGTCTGGTCGTGGGTGTGGAGATACCAGGTGAGACCAGAGTGACTGAAAAACTCCATTTCCTGCTTCTTCCTTCATGGATGCCCCATCAGTTCTTCCTCCCATCATACCCCCAGTCAGCCCAGGTCCATGACCCTTTCTCTGCCCACAGGGACATTGGGGGCAACGAGACAGTGACGCTGCGTCAGACATTTGTGCCTGTACGACCAGGCCCCCGCCAGCTCATTGCCAGCTTGGACAGTCCTCAGCTCTCCCAAGTACATGGTGTCATCCAGGTGGACGTCGCTCCAGCCTCCGGAGGCAGGGTCTTCTCAAACGCTGGAGGTGACAATTCAGGAGAAACCATCCCTATGGCTTCTCGAGGTGGGGCTTAGCCCTGGGCCAGGAGCAATTGGACTGGAGTTTGATGAACATGGACACTGCTTCAAGACAGGCTCACTGCAGAGCAGCCCCCTAGGGGCTCAGGTGGGGAGGCCGGGGCACCTGGAGAGGGGGCTGATCTTCACTTGCACTGGGCAGCACAAATGCTAATAAACTATTTTGTAATGAAGTAGTTATTCTGTCCATCTGTCAGTCCATCCCAGAACAAGGATTATGGCTCCATGGTCTGTACAGGGGATACATGTGGCATTTCTGGTCCTGGAACAGGTAGGTAATATAAGCAGAGAGATGCAAAATAAGAACTGAAAGGAAATGCCTGGAATAAATAACACCATAACTATAATGATGAATATCTTCGATGGGCTCAAAGATTGGATATGAACTGAGGAAAGAATCAATGAACTTCAAGACAGGTCAACAGAAATTTTCAAAACTGAAGTGCAAAGAAAAAAGAATGATAAAACAATAAAATATCAAAGAACTATGGGACATTTACAACAGTGTTGTATATGCATAATAAGGATACCAGAAGAAAAGAAATATTTGCAGCCTGATAATTAATGATAGACACCAAATACAGACCTAGGAAGTTCAGAAAACACCAAACAGGATAAATCTATGCCTATCATTCAAACTGAAAAAAAGAAAAGAAAAAGAAAATTTTGAAAGAATTTTGATAATGAAGGTAGCGAGGTACAAGTTACTTATAGCGGAACAGAAGTAAGAATTATATTGGACTCCAGAAGCCATGCAAACAAGAAGAGATGGAGCTGTTTAATATACTGAAAGAAAAAAGTCCACCAATCTAGACTTCTGATTTAGTAAAATGATCCTGAATACTTTCTCAAACAAAAATTAAGGGACTTTGTCACCAGATCTGACTCGCAAGACATGTTAAGAGAAATTCTTCAGAAAGAAGAAAAACGATATAGGTCAGAAACTTGGGGCAACATAAAGGAAGAACTTTAGGGAAATAAAATTTAAAAGGAAAGTAGCTAGAATTTCATACATGTCCAATGTGGGGTGCTTTGGAACCTCTAAGTAGAGTTCCTGCAGTCAGCTGAATGTGTGGATCACCTCAGAAGACTGATCTTGGGGAGAGACAGGGAGAAACCACGACCTTTAGAAAAGGAGATGCTCCAAATAATGGTTAGTTCCATTAACTGCCTGTAAGGTAGCAGGACAGGTAATTCCGTCAACAAAGTCTGTACGCTGTGTGTCAGGCGCTGTCTGGGGAGATGGAAATAGGGAGAGACCCCAGGAAGGGTGACAAGGAGACAGGCCAGCAAAACAATTACGTTAGACTGAACTAGGACAGAAATTCAAAAGAAAAACTTTTATCGGTTTATTTTCAAACTGTGATTTTTTTAAAAAAAGACATCAAACAGGGCCTCTCTGGTGGCACAAGGGGTTAAGACACAACCTATGAAGCTATCAGCAGCCACCGCAGCAAGGGTTCGATCCCCAGCCAGGGAGATACCCACATGGCTCAGCAGACCTCGACATCACAGAACAGTATCCAAAAAACGACCTCCAGTTTCACCATACAGAGAATACCAGGTTAACGATCTCACAAATCTTTTCTCACACTGTTGTATTCCTTTCTAAAGGGCGAGCGCCCTCTCCTGCTCTGTAAAGGCGGCGGCTGAATCTTTATTGGAAGCGCCGAGTCACCTGGGAAGGCACTGCAGGGGCTGGTTTGGGGGCTGGGACTTCAAAGGGCGAAGGCGACGAGGAGGGCAAGGAGATCTACAGACTAGGAGGTCCAGCCTTAGAGATGGCCGCGACTTCTCTGTAGCCCCCACCAAGCAGGCAGGTTCCAGGACGGCTGAGCCCGCGGTCACCACAGCCTGGCAGGACCGCGGCGGGCTCGGCCCGGCCGGCGCGGCGTGGCCTGTGGCGCCGCGTCACGGGACCGCCCGCCCGCCCATTGGCTCCCCGCCGCCGCCGCCCTTTCCCGGAGCAGGAAACCGGCCCGGAGCCGGAAGCGAGGTGGCGCTCGGCTGCGAGCCTGCGGCGGCGCGCGAACTGGGGGCCCTGGTGCCAGCGTCGCTTGCCACCTTCGCCAGTGGGGCTCCGGGCCCAACTAAAGGCCTCCAGAGTTCCGGGGGCCTGTCCCTAGAAGGTCTCTGAGCCGGGTCGCCAAGTACCCGGCGCAGCTCGAAATAACCGAGGCGCCGAGGCCCACCAGAAGCCCCGCCCCTAGTAGGAGCTGGAAAGCTTCGTCGTGGCGGAAGGAACCTGAAGGGACTGCCCCTGCGATGGGGCCCTAGGCCATGGGTACGCCCGCGGGGGCTGGCCCGGCTGCCCTGCGCTTCGCCGCTGCCGCCAGCTGGCTTGTGGTGCGCAGACGCAGCGTGGAGCACTTTCCGCGAGTATTAGAGTTTCTGCAATGCCTGCGCGCTGCTGCCCCGGGCTTGGTTCGCTACCGGCACCACGAACGTCTGTGTATGGGCCTCAAGGCCAAGGTATTGGAGCCAGCAGGACTTGGAAGAGCGGGAGAGGGGAGGGGTGGGATGCGGGAATCTGACAACAACGACGTTTTGAGGGGGGATCCAGTTGGAAAAGGGCAGCTTACCCCGAAGTAGAGATTTTGAGCTCAGTACGGTTCACAGGTCGTGGTGGAGCTGATCCTGCAGAATCGGCCTTGGGCCCAGGTTCTCAATGCCCTGCATCACCATTTCCCTGAATCCGGACTTGTAGTGCGGGATCCCAAAGCCGTGAGTAACCCCGGGAAGAAATACTAATCTCAGTTAACAGTTGTAACAGAATTACTCATCCCAGCCACTGTATTCTGGTCCCCTAACTCCCTTTAACTCCTTACCCTCAACAGACAAAGCAGGATCTGAGGAAGATTTCAGAGGCACGGGAAACCTTTTGCCAGCAGGTGAAGCAGCTAGCAGAGGGCCCTGTAGATTTGACTTCAAAGCTGCAGGTGAGACTGGCTCGTTTGTTAGTTGCCATGTGGCTATTTTGTCTAGTCCTCTCCTGACCTGCTTCTTCCCCACCTGCAGGATCTTGCACAAGAATATGGGGAATCCTTTCTTGCTGCTATGGAAAAGCTGTTTTTTGAATACTTGTGTCAGCTGGAAAAAGCACTTCCTGCACTGCAAGCACAGCAGGTTTTATTGGGGCAAAACACAGAAGGGCAGAGTGTGGGGTAGTTTTATCAAAAACAGTGGTTTTCATGCCTCTCTCCCTGCCCACAGCTTCAGGATGTGCTCAGTTGGATGCAGCCTGGAGTTTCTATCACTTCTTCTTGTGCCTTGAACCATTATGCGGTGGACATGAGGTGGCCACTACCAGGTACCAGGACCATTTGGGCATACTAGGAATTTGGGAGTAGGGTGTTTAGCCTTTTGAGACAACCCATTGGAAGGGTTACATGGATCTGAGGCACAAGAAACCAGGCAGAGTTCATCTATCATCTGTTCTCTTTATAAGGAGATTCCTTTTCTTTTCAGAGTGCTCGCTTACTGATTCAGTGGACATGACAGAGCCCATGGAGCAGAGTCCTCAGCAACCAAGATTAGCACTCCACAATCCTCTGCCAAAAGCCAAGCCTGATCCATACCTTCCTCAGGGAGCAGCCTTAAGGAAGCACCCAGAACTTTTAGCTGGCCACCACTTCAATCTGGCCCCTCTAGGTCGGAGAAGAATCCAGTCCCGATGGACATCCACTAAGGGAGGCCATAAGGAGCGCCCCACAGTCATGCTGTACCCCTTTAGGAATCTGGGTTCACCAACCCAGGTCATATCTAAACCTGAGGAGAGAGAAGAACAAGGGACGCACATGGCAGATCCAGCAAGTGCTGTGGGCAAGAGAACAGGTTCCACTGCCAAGGGCCCGTCCCAGACACTAGGTGAAAGAGCACTGGAGAGCCCAGTTGACCTGTTTGCCTCAGAGCAAAAGGAGTGAGTGGTACAGAGTTGCTTCTCCCTACCAACAGCACATCCTCGCCTGCTTTCCCTTCACCCTATCTTCTTTGCTTGCTCCCACTTCAGGAATTGCATGGATGATCCCATGAACCCCGTAAGACTGTCGTTATCGCCCCCTAGGACGATGACACCAGGTAGGTTTCCTGAGTTGGGTCTAGGTCGGACGCCTCATCTTTTGGATTCTTGAGGGCCCATGTTCATCTAGAAGAGTAGTTTGATTTGTTTCTTTTTTGCAGTGTGTCTTCCATCTCTGTGCAGCTCTGTCATTACCATAGGGGACTTGGTTTTGGACTCTGACGAGGAAGAAAATGGCCAGGGGGAAGGAAAGGTGAGTAGGAAGGACTAGGAAGTTGGGAAAAGGGATGGGCAGAACAAAATCGAGAGACCCACATGCTCCAGAACATGGAGGGCTCAGGGAATGGTTCCAGGTGGTGACAGGATCTCCCTGCTCCCTTCTCTGCAGGAGTCTCTGGAAAACTATCAGAAGACAAAGTTTGACACCCTGATCCCCACCTTCTGTGAATACCTCCCCCTTCTGGCCCCAGTGCAGCCCGTCCTATGACCATATAGACAGCTCGAGACACTGGTGATAGGACTGGAGTACCCTCTGCTTGTCTCCTTCCTCCTCAGCTCTACACAGTTTATTGGGAATACAGTGAAAGCCCAGTGGGTGGCCTGACTACACATTGCTCAAATTACTTTGTATGTTTAGTGATTATTTTGGATTTATTGAAACACTGTTTTGGGTATGAGGAGGGGAATGAAGGCTGCTTTAAGGTCAGAGTGTGGCATTCCTTAAAAACAGAACTGGCTTCTCTACGGCTAAAAGCATAGAAAGGAAATTTCCTTTGGCTATTCTGAAAATATCTGTGTGTGTGTCTTCATGCCAGAATACACTTTGTACATTCTCATGCTGCTATGTTACCTGCTGGGGGTCGGGACACTAGAAAGAAGACATTTCATGGGGAAAGTACTCATTGTCCTTGCTTCTGCGGAGCCAACTGGTGGGGTGCTGCTTGCAGCACCCAGATGCCGGGCCTTGTTCAAAAACTTCAGAATCTCTTTACATCATTGGATTGCTCTTTATTACAGTATTTGAATGTATAAACACTTTCTCTGAGCTTTCTACTCATAATGAAAGTGATTAACAAAATATGATTCTTAAAGCCTACCTCTTCCAGACTAAGGCCATATAAAACACTTATATGTGAACCAGCATCTTTACCGCTTATCTTCAGGATGCTGGGTCCTCAGATTTTGAATTGATTATCTTACTTTCCTCAGCCTTTCTTCTTTATTTCCTCCCCATTGAGTGCCCTAGGCACTTGTGCAGACAGAAAAGTACAAGATTACTGCAGGAGCCCTCAGGAGTAAGGTACCAGGAAATAATGAGTAATAAGGAGCTGGCACAAGTGAGAAGCCCACTTGGGACGCCCTATGGTGGGTGCTGATACCTTGGGAAGGCAGAGCTGCCAGGGTCTAGCTCGCCTCACTGAAGATGGGATTCACCTGCTGGGTGACACGGATGAAGGTAGTTCTCCGGCTCAGCTCCTTCAGCTTAGCTGCCCCCACGTAGGTACATGTGGAGCGGACGCCTCCGAGGATGTCCTGGATGGTATATTTCACGTCCCCTTTAAAGGGCACCTCCACTGTCTTTCCTTCAGAGGCCCTTAGAGTAGGAAAAACTCCTGAATTCCTTAAGCCCAGTGACTCTTCCCCAGTCTCTAGCATTCTGACCCGGTTTACCACTTTTCTCCCAAGAACTGTACCATCCATCTCCCAGCAGCCACCCACTGCTGCTGGCCTCCATGTGTACCTGTAGTCAGCTACGCCCCCAGGATACTTCTTCATGGCCACTTCAGAAGTCATTCCATAGAAGAGTTTGTACTTCTTGCCATTTCTCTCGATGAACTCACCACCTGACTCACTGTGCCCAGCCAGCATGCCACCCAGCATCACAAAGTCAGCCCCTGCCCCTGCCAGCATCAAGAAGGGAAAGAGATGAATCTGTCTAGGTACCCACATGTCCACACTCAGAAGCAACTCCTACCAAATTCTCAGTCCTGAAAATGAATCTACCATTTCCCTGGTTTTGTTTCCCTGGCTGGTCCCTCATCCCCACAGGCCTGTTCTGCCCTGTCCTCTACTCAGTGAGCCGGATTTCCTCATGAATTTAAAAAGAGAAATCTGGAGATGCTCTGCCTGGCTTGTGCTCTCTCCTTGCTACACTTGCCATCTTCTAGTCATTTCCTTTTACTGTGCCCAGATGAGCATGACTAACTACCAGTGTCTCAAGAGAAAAGTTTTCCAAGATTATTGTGAGCAGGGATCCTCTGGGAAGCTGTGGAATTGCAAGTTTACAGCCCTACTCCCCAAAGCCAAATCTGACATCTGGGGTGGGGCTCAGGCATTGTCCAGCAATCCAAAGGATGGTGAGATGGTCCTGGAGCATACCTGCAGCCTGCTGGCTTGACCAGGTGACATCATAGGCTTCAGGGTGACCAGTTAATATTACAGAATATGAGTGGTTTCCTTAGCCTTTCTAGCCTGATCCTAAACCCTCAGAGGTGGTCCATCCTTTTCTACAGGATCCTCCCATTGTGCCCTCTCAACATCCTTACCAAAAGCCTTAGCCACATCCCCGGGACAGCTGCAGCCTCCATCCTGCAAAATAAGGACCTCTATGAAAAGAGCATGGATTCCATCAGCCCACCTCAGAACTAACAGGAACCTTGGAGTCCTTATTCACCTCTGCCACAGCCTCCATACCCAGCAGAAAACCAGATGTTTTGGAAACTGCATACTCTGCCCTGCCCTTGGGACTTACTGAAATGATGTGGCCTTTAAGGCCATGAGCAGCGTCTGCACATTCCATCACTGCGCTGAGCTGTGGGTATCCCACTCCGGTTTTCGTCCTGGTGGTACACATAGAGCCTGAGAAGAACACAAGAAAGAGTAAAGTACTCCACCGGTGTTTGCTGATGAAAGGGTAGCCAGTGGCCCCCCAAGAACTAGATTACCTTGTCCAATACCCACTTTGATGATGTCAGCCCCAGAGAGGATCAGCTCTTCCACCATCTCTCCTGTTACCACATTCCCTGCCTGAGACAGAGCAATCAAAACAGCATTCTTAAGTTTGGAAATAAGAGAAGCAGTGGCTTGGTATGTCTGAGACATGATTTTGCACTAGTAGTATAAAGAAGGGTACCTGGGTTCCCTCTCCTGGCCCCTCTGCAGACTTCTAGAACAACCATTTGAAAGAGTGCTGCCTCCCACACTGAGGTAGGGAGTAAATAGCCAGTGTCGCTGTTGCACTGAGGTAAAGCTGGGATCCAACTAGACCAAGCTCAGATCTGGTTTACAGTAGATTTATCTCCCTCTCCCTGCCAGGAGACCCAAACATATCCTGTCCTTAAGCTGTCATGACTTCAGGGAAAGGGGGAAGACTTGATATTGAGACTAAATATTCATCTGCACAACACTTTGTTTTTACTGGACAATACAGAGACGCCCTAATGCTGTGAGGAAAGTGAAGCTTTGTTATCACTCCCCCAAGTTTATCAAAACAATAAAGCATCATTTCATGTGACCCTCTGTATGACTGCAGTACATGTCCCTATCAGTGGGCAGGTATATATGTACCACAGGTGTGTATGGTGCAAAATATCCCATCATGGTGGGATAAATATCCCATTGCGGTGCAGGGACATCACCTGCATCAAAAATTTTAGCATGGAACCATGGATTTTCACTCAGCGACATGATTAAATAAGTCATACTGCAGCAGGGGAGACATACAAAAAGGCATGGAAGGAGAGGGAGAGGAGTACATCAACCACAGGGTAACAGAAACATACCATGATGGTGTGGCTGGGGAAGCACTTCCGCACATCCTTGACAAACTCAACAAAGTGTTCAGAGTAGCCATTTGCCACATCCAGGCAGATATATTTCACCTGGGGAATAGCCTCCAAGATCTCTTTCAGTTGCTCAAAGTCAGAAGAGCTTGTGCCTGAGCTGACAGCCAGATTCTGTGGGAGCAACAAAGGCCTTAGCCTGTGGCATATGGAGGCAACGGCTGGTCCCCAGGAAGTAAAAAAAAAAAAAACAAAAGAGGGACCTCCCAGGTGGTGCAGGGATTAAAGTCTCAGCACTATCAAGCTTTTGCCAGCCACTGCAGCCCAAGTTCAGTCCCAACCAGGGAGTAGACCCCCATGGCACAACAGACCTCTCCAGTCTTGCCTGCTGCTCCCCTCAGCAGTGTATTTCAGTAGATATGCCTGTTCTGCCCCCCACTCTGTCTCTGGTGAATCCTTTCACCCCTGCACCTCTGGCCTACACCCCAGTTCTTGTATGCATAAATAAATATAAATCTTTTTGAAAAAAAAGATTATGGGCCTCCCCGGTGGCGCAGTGGTTGAGCGCTGGGTTGCGAAGCTGCCCAGCCTCTGCAGTGCTGGTTTGATCCCCGGCTGCTCCCGGCCACCAGAGGAGAGTCCCACATGGCACACAGACCCTCTCCTGCCGCCCGCTGCTCCCCTCAGCAGTGTACCTCGGTCCTGCCTGCTCTGTTCCCCGCTCTGGCTCTGGTGAATTCTCTCACCCTCCCGCGCTTCTGACTGTACCCAGTGCTTGTATAAATAAATAAATAAATAAATAAATAAATAAATAAATCTTAAAAAAAAAAAAAAAAAAAAGATTACTGGAGGGCCTCCCCAGTGGCGCAGCAGTTGAGCACTGGGTTGCGAAGCTGCTCGCAGGCTCTGCAGTGCCAGTTTGATCCCCGGCCGCTGGGTGAGGATCCCACATCGCACGCAGACCTCTCCTGCCGCCCGCTGCTCCCCTCAGCCGAATACTTCATCAGTCTGCTGTTCTGCTCTCCGCTCTGGCTCTGGTGAATTCTCTTACCCTCTCATGCTTCTGACTGTACCCAGTGCTTGTATAAATAAATAAATAAATCCTTTTTTTTTTTTAAAAAAAAAAGATTACTGGAAAACTGGGATGAAGAAAGGACCATGGTAGACCCAGTGTTACCTCTAGACAGTCAGGATTCTGGCTAGCAAACTCTTTCCACTGCTTGAGGTTGTAGTATTTATGGACAGCAGTGAAGAGGGAGAACTAGGGAGAAGAAAAAGAGTTGTCAAAAAGGAAAGAATTTTATAAAAGTCACTTTTTCTAGACGCAGACCTTTATACCATTCTAAGGGAGAAAAGGACTGCAAGTTTGCAAGAAGTCAGGATTAAGTTAGAATTTTTAAGTCAATCATTATTCTCCCTACAAAGAAATCCCAATAGGGCTTTTACCATAAACTGATTCTTGTCAAATACTCCCACCAAAGTACTAAGTCATCTGGACTGGATTTCACCTGCCAGCACATACAGTGCTTCTATCTTAAAGGATGACAAGGACAAGCTGCTGGTGCAGTGGGACAAGTGGTTGGTAGGAGTCATGAAGAGGCTGAACAGAGCCCATGTCTGCAGCAGACTCATCCCTCCTACTATGGTAACCTGGTACTGCACTAACCAATTTTTGATATCTTCTGGTCTCTTTAACAGTAATAATTCAGTGGGTCTAAATGCTCATAAAAGGTCAGGCCTTAAAGCTAACAGAATGAGTAAAGTACTATCATAATCTTTATCTCCACTACAATGAAGCAAAAATTTTCTTGCGATATGACCAAACTGCAAAGTTTTTCAACCAAGTTCAAATTCTTGTATACTTTAGCTCAGCAAATCGCAAGCAATACAGTAATATTTTGAGAAAGGCACCCAAAGGCTACTGTGAACATTGGCACTTTAAAGATGCAGGTATACAAACAAGAGGCAGCAGGTGACTGCGACAGCACAAATCTTGCAACTGTCAAGAAATAAAAGGATGTCACATACAAGCCAGCAACAGCTCCTGCTATACTCAGAGATCACCATCATCAGTGCTACCAGCAGAAGCTTATATTGAATTCTGCTTTCTCAGTAACACTTTGCTCTTAACATGCTGAAAAAGAAAAATCACTCTAGTTGGTAAGCTGACTGTCAACATACTGGCATAGTGTGGTATGATGAACACATCCAATTACACAGCAAGCTAAAGATCTAGAAAAGATGCTTGCCTGCATCTAATCTTTCTATTATTACTGTGAGACTTGGCTCTATCTCTAAAATCTGATTTCTTCAGCACTCATCAATGGTACTGAAAAGACAGTCTCAACATAAAGCATCAAAACAAGGTCCATTAGGGCCTCCCCGGTGGCGCAGCGGTTGAGCGCTGGGTTGCGAAGCTGCCCACGGTCTCTGCGGCGCCGGTTTGATCCCCGGCTGCTCCCTGGCCACCAGAGGCGGGTCCCACATGGCGCGCAGACCTCTCCTGCCGCCCGCTGCTCCCCTCAGCAGTGTACTTCGGTCCCTCTGCCTGCTCTGCTCCCCGCTCTGGCTCTGGTGAATTCTCACTCCCTCCCACGCTTCTGACTGTACCCAGTGCATGTAAACAAAAACAAAAACAAACAAACAAATTAATTAAAAACATGCCTCTATAAAAAAATAAATAAATAAATAAAAAACAAGGTCCATTATTACAGCATGACTGTTAATGTTCAAGTCAGACTCACCATTCCCCAACCTTATGGACACAACACACAGACAGTGGTCAACAGCAGGATTCCTAAGCAGTTAATGAATGACAACAGCAAAACAGTACTAAAACTGCATGACTATCAATTTCAGAAAAATGACAACACATTCCATAAAGACTTACAGCAATCAAAAATAGAGAAAGGGAGATGAAGTCCTTAAGACTAACAGCCACAAGTGGTAACAGAATCCATCAAGCAGCAGGGCTACACGGATTAACCAGAAGAGTGCATATGTTCTCGGGGTGCCTAGAGTAACTACCTCCATGTAGATAGTTCTGACTACAAGTACAGAAGCAGGTAATATTGCTGACAGGAGCACCATCTTCCATTTTGAAAGTGAACAATAACCTGTATATAAGAAAAAAAAATTCCATTTTGGGCAGATCCCAAATACTCCCAGGACCTAGGGCTTAAAATAAATTAGCGGGAGATTAAAATAAATGAGGCATAAAAGAAAATCAAGCTGATTCTCTCTAGAATCTTCGAGTTAGGAATTTTTTAATGCTCTAACTGTATTTAGTTTCTGGACTAAAACAGTGAATGCTTAGTATCCTGAACTGTGCTGTAGTGGAGAGATGCATGTGATGTGGAGGAGGTGGGTGGTAGGAAGAGTTGGCAGGATGAATCTACTACTGGATAGGAGAAAAGGGAAAGTTCTCATATCAGAAAAATGAGGGCAAAACTTAAATCTCAGTAACTCAGATGTTTCTTTGAACATCGGATAAAAGGGCCTTAGTCCTGGGAGTGAGGGGGTAAGAATTAGAGCACCTTTACTTTTAACTGCCAGAGAGCTTATGTGGAAAAAGGATGGGGATGCAGATACCTCTGCAAACAGCTTACAAAACTGGGCATAACTGAGGAAGGAGTTTGAGGGAAGTCCTACCTTAGAGAGAACCTTGGCCATCTCAAAGGTGCCTACAGTATCCATATTGGCAGCAATAATGGGGATCCCATTGTACATCTGCTTGGAGTTGCGAAATGAAAAGGATCTTGTGAGATCCACCTGCAGACACGAACAGGAAACTGAACATTTCATTAAAAAAAAAAAAATACTGTTAAGTCCTATAACAAACATACTGGCATAATGTGGCATGATGAACACATCCAATTACACAGCAAGCTAAAGATCTAGAAAAGATGTTTGCCTGCATCTAATCTTTCTATTATTACTGTGAGATTTGTACTCCTCTTGAAGGAATACAAGAGTCAGTGTATTTTTCAGTCCTGGCCCAGAAGGAGCTTGAATGAAGGAGCAACCAGGGAAGCAGGCTCACCTCACTTCGTGACTTAAGAGTGCTGCGTTTGGGGCGCAACAGGACATCCTTGAAGTCCAGTTTGATGCCGCTGTCAATGTGAGGCATGTTGTGGGCCTACAGGTCTCGAGGAATCTGAAGGCAGGAAGGTGGGAAAGGTTAGGAGCGTAAGTTGAACCATTCTCCCCCTAGGCCTAATGCGCAGTTGGGGCTAGTGGCAGAGTTCATCCCTCTCCTCGCTTAAACTTGGAAGATCGGGGCATAGGTTAAGACGTTGGTCCCTCAAGACTGTCACCTCTGACCCATCCCATGATTGCGATTACTCTCGATGTCTCCATCCCAGGTACTATTTATTGGAGCAAAAAACTGGGATGGAGTCATGAGTGGTCCTAAAAAGGTGCATTATTTATCCTGCTACTCTTCCTTTTCCCTGTCCCTGCAAAGAGCAGTTGGAATAAGAGGTTGATTTGGGAGGGCTAGAAGTAATGGGGGGCGGGGGGGGGGGTAATCCCACAACCAGCTTCCGGAATAAGGGTACTCACTTCCTGTCGCCTTGGCCCAGGTGGCAGTTGACCCGCAGCGCCCCTTAGCAACTTTCCTCGCGCGACCCCGCAAAGGCTTCTGGGTCACAGAAATAAGCTCGGCTAATTGCCGGCGAGTCCGATTAGTCCAGCAATGGCAGCTTCCGGGGGGGCCTTGTGGGTAACCAAGTTCACACACTGAGGTTGCCGTTAGAGCTGAGGCACTGGGGACTACAACTCCCAGGGTGGAACGCGCGGGACGGCCCTTTGGCCTAAGAGTTCGCTCAGCCCCTTTCCACGAGCCCGGGCTCGCCAGGGACTCTGAGACTCGCGGGAGGGTCACCTCTGCCGTAACTAAGCTGACCGCCTTCTTTTCACTCACGACGCCATTGAAGCGAAACGTGGAGCACTCCTGGGCCTTTCGGGAACGCGGTGGGAAGAAGGCCGGACTAGGGTGGGTGGGGCCAGATCATGACCCGGAAGCAGAACTGACTCCCGCAGGCAGAGTGCTGGGAAGCGGCGGCGGCGACCGCAGCGGTAGAAGCAGGAATTTATCTGTGTGCAGCCCCAAACTGGGAAGAAGATGCTTATTAAAGTGAAGGTGGGAGCACCTCCAGCCTTGGCAAGGCGCAGTGGTACTGGGCTGACCGCCGTGCCTTTGGGAGGAGCAGGGAAGGCGAACCACGCCTTTCCAGAGCCTGGAGGGCGCTGACAACCTCAAGGCGCTGCGCGAGGGGTGATGGGAAATTAGGGGGCCCCTAAGGGGCTTTGAGAGCGGGGGACTGGCTAGCCGACGACCCCGGGGTCTCTGCTCTTCCCGCTTTCCTGCCAGGGCTGCCCCAGAAGGAGGCCACCTTTGTCCGGTGTGTCTGTACTCGAAACCCTGCGGTCCTAGAGAAGGTCTAGCAGCAGCTTGAATCCCCTGTCTCGGATTTTTGGAATCAGCCCTGATCTCCTTTCTTCATGTTTGGGAGTCTGCTGCTTCCACCCCCCCCCCCAACATAGGATGCTTCCGAGCATTCCCCAAAACGTTGGCGGGGGGATGCAGGGGCTTCGAAGGGCCTAGACTAAGCTTTTGTTGGTTGTCGCCAAGCTGTAGTATCTCAGCCCACCTTCAGGAATCAAAGCTGGGAATGTTACCGGGCAGCACCCGCCTTTCTGAGCCGGGCATCCTGGACCAGCCTCACTTCTTGACTGAGGCAGGTTAGTTCCTAGGGCCCTAGTTCTTGTTACTAGCAGTGTTTTCTTTAACTCCATATCTCAACTCCCATGGTTCTTTTTTCACCAGTTCCTAGCCCTCATTAGTCCTGTCTGCTGTTACTTCTTTTGTACCTTCAGACAGAGACAAAACTAAGAATTCATGCAGAGTAATGTTAGTTTGCCCTTTTTACTGCTTTTTACTTTTTACTTTTATCGTTAGTGTATCCTTAGTGTATTTACCATACATAATAACCATTCTAAACCTTCTCTTCAGTCCTTTCTCTTAAGGTTGAGACCAAACAGCATGTTTAAAATCATTTTCAAACTTTGATTAGTGACCTATAAAAGAGTCACTGATTGTGAAATCAAAGAATGAGTCAGTGGGTCACAGGCAACCCACAATTAAAAAAAAGAATAGAATTATTGGTATATTCCTGGGTGAGAGTATTTTTTGTGACATGTTTATCCATCTTGCATGTGTATTATACATGTATGTGTTAATAGTTAATGTATTTCTTAATATGTATATCTTAATATGGGTCACTGTCAAAATATAAAAAACACTAGCAAGATAAATGCTTTTGTTTTTTCAATGCCTATGGCTTGTAATATCCTCTTAGTACACTCTTCATCCAAAGAGAAGATTACTATACTTGTGTTCAAGTATAGTAAACGTTCAAATCCCAACCTACACTCAAAAACTTATGTCCCGTACAGAAAGCTTACTATGTCAGATATTTTCAGTTCTATTCTGTTTATTGCATAACCCTCTAATGGGTTAAGATCTGCATTAAAAAGAATACTGTAATCTAGATGGGCTTCTAACCTTTAAAGTGCTTAATCATTTGGGGATCTTGTTCAAATGTTGCTTCTAATTAACTGGGTCTGGGATGAGACCCTAGACGCTGCACTTTTAACATGCTCCCAGATGGCTTGACAATTGATGCAGAGTAATGTTAGTTTGGCCTTTTTTAACTAAGTTATGCTTGTCTGGGGACTACAGTTTGAGTAATGAAGCGCTAGATTTGGGTTCTTTATTTGAATCCATCTTTATTTAGTACTTCTCTCAAATTCTCTCTCTTTTCTCAAACCACTTTCCTTTCTGTTTCTCTATCCTCCATCTCTTTTTTTAATGCATGTCTTTATTATATGTTAAATACATTTAAAAGCAATTAGTTGTTAATTACTATGGAAATGATAATGTTTTATTAGGATTCCTTTGCAAATTTTTCTTCAGCTGTCATCTCCATGTAGCTAGCTTAATTCTTCTGTATCTCTTTCTGCAATCCTTAACAAGTAAATCCCTTTTGAGTTAAATATTCTCTGGATAGCTCATTTCCATTGCTCAAAAATTAAATACATCATCTTATGTCATTTTCCCAGTACTCATCGCATACATTGTGCCCATCATTCTGCCAAGTGTCTGGAACCCAGTTTGTTTGAGTCATTTTCCTTATAGAACTTAATTTTTCCCTTGACAATCTTTGTGCTTCATTTTCTTTCCATTCTCATTACCCTTATTTAGATCTGGGGTCTCATGAACTTAATTTTTTATTTCTCTGTGATACCTTTAACCAAGTTTTTCTACTGCTATACTCCCTCCAAAATTTAGAGTCTAAACCAAGACATGATATACAGAATCATAGTGTACAGCTTTTCTTTAAACTTTCATCATATTACTCCCTAGCCCCAGATCCTGCACTGATAACCTTGGCAGATTACTTTGGGCAACTTTCTGAGCCCCAACTTTCAATTTTTTTTTTAACATAGAATAAGGCAAAAGTTCTTAATGTTCAATTCACCCATGGAACCACAAGATGTAGAACATTTTTACCCCTGCACTCTAAAAGATCCATAGGTTAATTGTGCTTGTTTTATAATTTTATATAAATGGGATTATATGACATACAGTTTTTGTGTCTGGCTTTTTTCACTCAGTATTATGTCTCTTGTCCTTACCAAGTAGTATTCCATTGGATGACTGTATCACAATTTATTCATCCATTCTTCTATTGATGGGCATTTGGATTGTTTCCAGTTTCTGGCTATTATGAATAAGGCTCCTATAACACTGTTATACAAGTCTTTTTGTGGACATGTTTTCATTTCCTTTGGGTAAATACACAGGAATGGAATTACTGAATCATGTGGTAGATATTTGTTACTTTAAAGCAAACTGTCAAATAGTTATCTAAGGAGTTGTACCATTTTACATACCCCCATGCTATGAATGAATGTTCTAGCTGCTCTGTACCCTTGCTTAGTCATGTTAGTATATTATTAGTTAGTATACATATTAATATTTTTATTTTAGCTATTATAGTGGGTGAGAAACGTCCTCTCATTCAGGTTTAAAGTAATCATTGTTGTTTTTCACACACATCAGCACTTTGTCATTGTACCTTGTGTTTGGACAATACTATTCAGGATGACACTTCCTTATATGTTGGTTTGTTCTGTTAATTGTATGTCTCATTGTTTCTTGGTTGTAAATCTTCACCTTAAGAAGCTTCTTGGCAAAGGCTGGATCACTTCATTTCTCTCATGTTCTTCGGGTGCCTAAAGCAGTATCTTGGACTTAGGTGTTCATCATAGTGTTGTTAAATAGCAGATCAGGTCACGATGACCAGATCTTAAGGAAGAAACCAATGTGACAAGATATATTAAGAGTATCTTTTACAATTGTTCAATTACTTTAAAAAGTAATTTTTATTGTGACAATTTCAAACAGACAATCCTTTACCCAACTTCAAAAATTATCATCACCTCATGACTAATCTTATTTGTATTTATCAACTTTTGTCAATTGAGGTTCTATGAAACAGATTCATAAAAGAACTTTTTGGGCCTCCCCTGGTGAGCGCTGGGTTGCGAAGCTGCCCGCAGCCTCTGCAGTGCCGGTTCTATCCCCGGCTGCCAGCGAGGGTCCCACATGGTGTGCAGACTCTCCTGCCGCCCGCTGCTCCCCTCAGCAGTGTACTTCGGTCCTTCTGCCAGTTCTGTTCCCTGCTCTGGCTCTGGTGAATTCTCTTACCCTGCCGCACTTCTGACTGTACCCAGTGCTTGTATAAATAAATAAATAAATATTTTTTTTAAAAAAAGATTCCTTTAAAAAAAAAAAGAACTTTTTTAACATAACCATGATTATCATGCATAAAAAATGAACAGATTCCTTACTATCATCAGATTTACTCTATTGTCTCATTTTCTGTATTTCATTCAAATCTGGATCCCACTAAGATCCACACACTGCAATTGGTTGCTATGTGTTTTAAGCCTTTTTAAATCAGCATTTCCTCCTGTTCCCTGTTTTTGTTGAATAAAGAAGGTTATTTGTCCCATATAGTTTGCTACAGTTGGATTTTGATGATTACATCCCTATGTTGTCTTTTAATATATTCCTCTTTCCTCTATATTTCTTGTCAATTGGCAGTAAGATCTAGAGACTTGATTTTTTTTTTTTATAGAGGTATGTTTTATTTATTTGTTTGTTTATTTATTTATTTATACAAGCACTGGGCACAGTCAGAAGCACGGGAAGATGAGAGAATTCACCAGAGCCAGAGCGGGGAGCAGAGCAGGCAGAAGGACCGAAGTACACTGCTGAGGGGAGCAGCGGGCAGCAGGAGAGGTCTGCGCGCCATGCGGGGCCCTCCTCCGGTGGTCGGGGAGCAGCCGGGGATCGAACTGGCGCTGCAGAGGCTGCGGGCAGCCTCGCAACCCAGTGCTCAACCGCTGCGCCACCGGGGAGGCCCTTGATTAATTTTTTTTTAAAGATTGATTTATTTTATTTGTACAAGAATCGGGGTACAGGCCGGATTCACGGGAGGGTGAGAGGACTCATCAGAGACAGAGAGGGGAACAGAACAGGCACACTGACAAAATACACTGCTGAGGGGAGCGGCAGGTGTAACAGGAGAGATCTGCGGTGCCATGTGGGACCCTCGCCTTTCAGCCGGGATCGAACCGCCACTGCAGAGGCTGCGGACAGCCTCATAGTGCTGTGCTCAACCGCCTGCACCACCAGGGGAGGCCCTTGATTAATGTTTTATGCATTTTCATGTGAGAATCATTCATGATGGTGGTGATGTGGTATGCACTTACATCAGATTGTTTTACCTTATATGATGTTAGTTTCCTAGAATATTAAATTAGAAGTTACAAAATGTGGGTATTCTAAATTCATTGTTATCTAATATATTAATAGTGCTTGAGCAGTGTCCATTATGGAAGCCATTAGCCACATGGGCTGATGAGCAGTTTAAATACAGATCAGGTATTTCAGATGAAAATTTATCATCTGAATTGAGATGTGCTCTAATTTTGACATACACGGGATTTTGAAGATTTAGACAAAATAAATAAAATACATTAGCAGTTTTTATATTGGTTGCATGTTGAAGTATTTTGAATATATTAGGTTTAAGAATACTAACATTTCGGGCCTCCCCTGGTGGCACAAGCAGTTGAGTGCCATGCTGTGAAGCTGTCCACAGCCACTGCAGTGCGGGTTTAATCCTGGCCTGCTGGCGACGGTCCCACATGGTACAACAGACCTCTCCTGTCGCCCCACTGCTCCCCTCAGCAGTGTATTTCATCAGTCTGCCTGTTCTGTTCCCTGCTGTGTCTCTGGTGAATCCTGTCACCCTCGTGCGCATCTGGCCTGTACCCCGGTTCTTGTATAAATAAATAAATAAATCTTAAAAAAAAAAAGAATAAAATTTCACTGTTAAAAAATGTGGCTAAGGGGGAAAAGGGTGGGTGAAAAAATGTGGCTACTAGTTTATTTTATTTTATTTTTTTTATAGAGGCATGTTTTATTTATTTATTTATTTGTTTGTTTGTTTTTGTTTATACATGCACTGGGTACAGTCAGAAGCGCGGGAGGGTGAGAGAATTCACCAGAGCCAGAGCGGGGAGCAGAGCAGGCAGAAGGACCGAAGTACACTGCTGAGGGGAGCAGCGGGCGGCAGGAGAGGTCTGCGCGCCATGTAGGACCCTCCTCCGGTGGCCGGGGAGCAGCCGGGGATCGAGCTGGCGCCGCAGAGGCCGCGGGCAGCTTCGCAACCCAGCGCTCAACCACTGCGCCACCAGGGAGGCCCTACTAGTTTATTTTAAATTGTGTGTGTGGTTTGTGTTGCATTTCTGTTTTTACTGGACAGTACTGTTTTACAGAATTGTTTCCTTACACTCTCAGCAAGGATATTGTTTTAAGAACATTTTTCCCCTTACAGTATATTCATGGTACTGAAAAAGGGAAAATACAGACAAACACATATTATAGATATTTAAATATGATTTATAATTAAAATCACCTATAATCTTACAACTCAAGATAAAAACACTGATACTTATATCCACCCAAACTGAAAGCACATAGGGCCTCCCCGGTGGCGCAGTGGTTGAGCGCTGGGTTGTGAAGCTGCCCGCAGCCTCTGCGGCGCCGGTTCGATCTCCGGCTGCTCCCCGGCTACTGGAGGAGGGTCCCACATGGCGCGCAGACCTCTCCTGCCACCCACTGCTCCCCTCAGCAGTGTACTTCGGTCCTTCTGCCTGCTCTGCTCCCCGCTCTGGCTCTGGTGAATTCTCTCACCCTCCCGCGCTTCTGACTGTACCCAGTGCATGTATAAACAAAATGAACAAACAAATAAATAAAATAAAATAAAACATGCCTCTATATAAAAAAAAAAAAACCAAACTGAAAGCACATAAATGCACGTAGAACTTTTTTTTCCCACAAGGTTGGAATTGTTATTCTAAACATTATTTACAAACTGTAATTTTCCCTCCATGTTTGTGCCGTAATTTAGTTAATCCTCAACTATTGGATGTTTAGATAGTATATCTAATTTTTCAGTGCTAAAAGGCAGTGATAACCTTGTTATAGGTATATTTTGGGACATAGTCGTGATTTCGCCTGAGGTGGTGTTGCTGGGACACCATATCACCAGGTTGCTGACTGAATACATTGATGGGCTTCTACTGTCAATCTCAGAAACAAAAGAGCAGTCACAGAGTTTTAGATCTTACAGTCCAGTAATTTTTTTTATTATTATTTTTTTTAGTGTCTTTAGGTGCAATCCTCTTACTCTTAGAGCAGTTTCAGGTCTTAGAGTCTTTTTTAGACTCTAAAATTTTTTATTAAATCAGAATGAACATTTGTTTATAATATTTATGTGAGAAAGGAAATATATGTCCATTTAAACCCTCCCCTCAGTCCTATGCTCCTTCTCAAAGATAATCGCTATTATAAGAGATATTTGTATACTTTTAATTTTTGTTCGTGTACATATATACATACATATAGGATATGATAAATACATTTATATTTTTTCATGTTGGCATATAAACTGTTGCTTAAAATATATATAATTCTCTGCCATAGTTCAATAGTTTTCTTTTTAATATACATTAGGCAGTTTTTAATGTTTTGCTTTTACAAATGATGCTGCAGTTAACCTGATATGTTTCTGTTGGATACACATTCTTTCAAGAGTTTTTGCATTTAAAATTTTTCTGACGAGTCTTTGTGTTTAAAGTATTAAAGTCAATTAAGTGAAATAATTTGTGAGCAGTGCAGAATTGAAGACTTTTCATTTTGTCAGGAAAGGGCCTTTAAAAATTACCCTGAAAATCACTGTCATTTCATTAAAGGACATTCTAACACCTGAATATATATATATTTGATTTCATGAAAATCTCTCTGTCATCGTTTTTCTCTTCTTATCATAGGGTCTTGAAAATTTTCACACAGAGATAGAAACTTGAGTTGAAACTGTTTATTTATACTTTTGCATTAAAAAGGTAAATCCAAAGGAGTGACTCTTGCATTTTTGGGACACATACTTAGAATCATTCCTGAGATTGAGAAGTAGTTTCTAAGTGCTTTCTTCATGCTGGTCTGTGTGAATGTAAATGGAAACCACGTGCTGTTTTGTGAACCTCCCATAGGAGAATACATTGGATCCCAATACTAGATCCACCAGAATCAGGCAGTACTGAGTACAAAGCTAAAAGCTCAGACACAGGCCAGAGCATCTGCGTTTAGATCCACATTCTTCTTTTCACTTCTAAGGCAGGCCTATTTTCCTCTTCTATAAAAATGGTGATAGTAATAGTACATATCTCATATATACTTATAAAGGTTAAATATATTTATGTATGTAGGACACTCCGCATAGGGGCCTCCCTCATGACTCAGGGGTTAAAGTCTCAGCGCTATCAAGCTGTCACCAGCCACTGCAGCATGATTTTGATCCCCGGCCAGTGAGCTAACCTCATGGCACAGCAGACCTCTCCTCCTCGCCCGCTGCTTCCCTCAGCAGTATATTTCAGTTCAGTGAAAGATGTAGTAGTGATTCTGTTCTGCTCCCCTGCCTGTTCTGCTCCCCACTCTGTCTCTGGTGAATCCTCTCATCCCCCACCCCTCTGACCTATACCCTGATCCTTCTATGCATAAATAAAAATAAATCTTTAAAAAAAAAGACACCCAGCAGAGTTTCTGACTTGCAAAGTGTTCAGTAAATGCCGACTGTGACTGTGATTATTACTTGATTGTTGGCCTATTTATCCCCTCCACAATATTTACTGTGTGTTTTGTGCTTAGATTAAGAAGATGAATAGTCTTTAGGAAGTTGGAGTGCAAGTTGTAGAGTTTACTATTTAAATAACAACCGTAATAGGTATTAAAGTGCTTTGGGGACAAGTCATTGATCTTATATTAAAGAGTTCTTAGAGGTTTAAGAAAGAGTGGGGAGGATATGGCAACAAGGAAACAGAAGTAAAAAAAAGTCCTTAAATTAGACAGTATATGGTATGCATGTGGTCTGGGTTATAGTAGACTGGTGCTGGTAGAGATCAAAGAGCAAGGGCAGATAGGACTGAATGGTCATAATCTCTATAAGTATCGGGTCAGTCTATTGTGTTCAGATATCACAATATCCAAACACAGCCCTTAACCTATGAAAGAAACCAGGAAGACCAGAGCTGCGATTTAAGATTTATGTAGAAGTTTAGAGAAATGGAAGAACAGAATATTGAATTCTAGTGCCAGTTAAAAAACTGGGCAGAAATGATCACTGGTGTCCTTGAGAACTCTTTGAATTGTCTGCATGTTAATTTTTAACACTGATAATATAAAACAAGGTTTTTCTAACTCAAAGGAATACTTTCCTTAGGATACTTCTCATTGCTGTCTTATCCAAAGGAATGCCAGTATTCTCAAGGGTACTAGTGGGGTGGGATGTGAGATGACCTGTAGGATTAAGAAGGTAAGGAGGTTCTCATAATATTGCCCTACTAAAGTTGTCCGTAGTCTAAAAATGTTTGATGGATACAGTTATGATCAAAGACTTCTGACTCTTTCAAAGCAACTTTGCTGAGAATGTCTCCCAGAGACCAGGACAGGATGTTTTACCTATGAGACAAATTGTATATTGGGCCAGAAGAATTCATGAAACCTTTGTTTATTTCAGACGCTGACGGGAAAGGAGATTGAGATTGACATTGAACCCACAGACAAGGTAATATATATCCAACACCTCTTCATGCCTGTCTCCCTACCATGTGCATTTGCTTGGATATGCTGATTTACTTAGTTCTTTTGTTCTCATACTATCTGCATAGCGTTTGTTCATTTACACTTCCATGGTCCTACCCCTGAGCACTTATACCCTTAAAGGTGGAGCGAATCAAGGAGCGTGTGGAGGAGAAAGAAGGAATCCCCCCACAACAGCAGCGGCTCATCTACAGCGGTAAACAGATGTGAGTTTGGAATGGGAATGAGGGCATAGCAAGCTTATGGGAAGATCAGAAAGCAATTGCTGTAGGTGGAGCAAGCCTGCCTCCTTTTTCTTGGTGCCTTGAACTCCTTGGCATTTTGGTGAAGCTCGTGAACCCCTTCTCACAATAAGATTTTTGCAGACATAAAACACAGTTACAAAAGAAACTAATATACCTATCAAAATACTAAAACAAATTTGTGATATAGTAATATATATGCTTCTTTATTAATACATTAAGATCTAATTACCATACTTTTGAAATATTTTGAAGATAGCTGCATGTAGTTGTGACATGATTGAATATATCCAATTTCTATTGTTAATAGTTACCCACATAGCTGATACCAGTGTGGGTTTTTCCTGTGTTTAAAATTGAAATAAATATGAAATTTCAGGAATTCATAAAGATAAAGGTGTAATTTTTTTCTCATCAAGACACCACCATCACCAAAACGCCAGGTGAAGAGTCCTGTTCTAGATGGTATTTCTAATCTTTTAAAATTTTTTTGGCCTCCTTTTCCTTTAGGAATGATGAGAAGACAGCAGCTGATTACAAGATCCTAGGTGGTTCAGTCCTCCACCTGGTATTGGCTCTGAGAGGAGGAGGTGGTCTTAGGCAATGATGGACCCTCCCTCCATTTTACCTCCTTTACCCTGTCGGTCAGAATGAGACATCATCTATCCTCTCACAGCCTGGGACACCAGAGCCACTGACCCCTCTCCTGGATGCCCAGTCTTGTGTGTCTACTGGTGGGAGACTGTGAGGACCCCAGGATGCATTGTTCCTGGCCCAAAAGGCCCTACCTGGCAATTGGGTTTTAGTTTGCAGTCCTGTGTGCTTCCCTCTCATGGCTATGTCCCATTGTCAATAAAATATTTCTTGGCCTCCTGGAATCTTTCTTCTGTTGCACGTATGTGACTAAAATCAGAATAGACCCAAGCATACCCAGTTATACCAGGCTGAAAGAGCTGCGCGATGGAAGGGAATGTACTCTAGAGGAATTATCATGTTCTAGGAAAGCCTACCCTCAGTGGTGTGCTGGAGCCAGCTCTTACAGGTTCATCAGAGAGAGCTTATTGGTATGGCTTCCCAACCCCATATTAAGTGACTTCATGTTGGTAGCTTGAAATTGGTCATGGAAGAAATATTTACAGAAATTGGCGAAAAATGCAAATCAGTACCTCCCCTGAAAAGGTTATTATGCATCTACCAGCAGACTACTGATGTAGGTGTAGCAACCACAAAAGGGAATTCTCTCCCTTGTGATCCTGCTGGACATTTGGGCCTAGTTAGAGAAAGCCCACAAGGACTTTGCAGGCATTACATTCTTTATGGCTGGAATATTGCTAAGGCTTTATGTTCTACGCTATTGAGAGGCTGATAAGGAGTAAGGTGGAGTAAGAAATGACACAAACTATGAGGGATCACTAGGTCTCGATTGGTAAGAAAAAATGAAGTGAGTGCCAGAAGAAAAGAATTCCTTTCCCTGGTTTTTTGATTCTTGGGAGACTTGAGGACCTCTTTACTGCAGTCCTTTCCACACTCCACCACCAGGGGGAGGTCTTGCGCGGTCTCCAGGCGGATCAGCTCTGCCCGGCGTGGCGACGCTCTAGTCGTCTATTCTCTAAGGCATCGGGAAGCCGCCTCAGTCCTCTAGGAAGTCGCGTCTTCGGGTACGCAGTCTGAGGGTTGTCCGTCATGGCCCGGCTCCCGAAGCTCGCAGTGTTTGATCTGGGTGAGGGACCGGACTGGGGAGTTACCTGGGCGCCCTCCTATTTCAGACCTGCGTTGCAGCTCTCTCCAGGACCTTTGGCCTCCAAAATTGAACCCTCCCCTTCCTCTCGCAGATTACACGCTCTGGCCATTTTGGGTGGACACACACGTAGAACCCCCGTTCCACAAGAGCAGGTGAGGTAGGGCTGGGGAGGATGGTGCAGGCAAGGACCCGACCGGAACTGAGCGCGCTCTCGCCCTCTCCAGTGATGAAATTGTACGAGACAGGCGAGGCCAAACCATCCGACTGTACCCAGAAGTGCCTGAAATCCTGGAACGATTGCGGGACCTTGGGGTGCTGGTTGCGGCAGCTTCCCGGTAAGAAAGGAGACTGAAAATAACAGGCTAACGCTGAGAGATGCACGTATGAGACTTCTTGTGTAACCACCTGTCTACAGATATATAGGAGATGCAAATTTGCAAGTATGTGCGTATTTTTCTAATTGCTTCCTTTCCTGTGCCCTTTATTAAACGTTGGCTCAGTGCCACCTGTCAGATAGCTATAAAGGCCAAGGATGCCTCCCGTTCTTGGAAAATAGCAAGTTGATTTCCCCCAGGTTATACCTAACTACGCTTGCGACCATGGCCCTCCTCCACATTCCTGATCACATCTATTATGCCATTTTGCAGGACAGGTGAAATTGAAGGGGCAACCCAGCTACTAGAGCTCTTTGACCTTGGCAGACACTTCGTTCATCAGGAAATTTATCCAGGCAGCAAGGTCACACACTTTGAGAGGTAAGCAGAAAGAAGCAGGGAGAGGGACCAAAGGGGCTCAGGAGCTAAGAAGCCAGTGTGATTACCTCTGCCCTGCCTTACACAGGTTGCAGCTAAAGACCGGAATCCCTTTTTCCCAGATGATCTTCTTTGACGATGAGAATCGGAATATTGTTGACGTCAGCAAACTGGGTACTGAGTGGTGAGGATAGGGGTTAGGTAAATATGTACAGAATGGATAGTTTCCATGACAGGTGACACTCGATAAAGGTGAGAGTAACAATATGGAACAAGGAAGGCCTGATGAAACTTGGCTTCTTTTCTTTCTAGGTGTTACCTGCATTTATGTCCAGAATGGAATGAGTCTACAAACCCTCACTCAAGGATTAGAGACTTTTGCAAAGGTCTCTAAAGCTGGACCCTGAGGGTCAGTGCTGTGGGTGAGCCTCATTTGGGGCATAAAGCTGAATGGAACACAGGAAAGCTTTTTTTCAGATGTATATGTAAATTATTAAAGTGTATTTGTGTGTGACAGAAGAGATCTCACCCACAGTGGGTTATTTTTCTAGTGTGTGAACCCAGGGTTGGCTATCCGAAGATGCCAAGACCAAAGCGTGAGGCATTAAACTGCATCAGGTTCTGCCTTGTAAACTTGTGGTAAACCAGAAACTGATCCCCTTGCACTCGCCCCATCTCCACCCACTTTCCTGAGCTCTGTAAAGGGCGTGAAGAACTCTTCCACTGGCTCCAAGTAGTGTGGTGCGTTACCCTGCCCGTTTCCGTTCGGGAAACAAGGATTTTGTTTTGAGGTGGGGGTAAATTGGTTATTTACGTAGTGGAAAATGAAGCGGCAGCCTTAAAGAGCCCTCAGTTTCGGGCCACGTGATAGAAGTGACCTTATTTGCGCCTGCTGATGACGTCGCCGCGAAGCCCGAGTAGGGATTGGCTGAGGCCCGTCTGGATGGGAGGAGACACACCTCCCCGGTGCAAGGCGGAAGTGTGGGGGACGCTGTGGGGCACTGGCTGGAGAGGCAAGGGCTGCAATGAATAGTCTGGGCCGACTCTTCGGGAGGGGTGAGCAGGGGCGAACCTGGGTGGCTGGGGAGGTGCTGGGTGCAGGGGTCGGGGTCGGGGGTGGGGTAGACCCAGGAGACAGGCTTTCTCGAAAACCACTGTCTTGTCGGGGAGCCTTGCTCCGTCTGCTTTCCTTCCACCACCCCTCATCACCCCGCCTCAAGAGGGAAGAGCTGGAGGCTCAGGAGGGGACGTGAGTGGAGAGCTCGGTGACCATGCTGGCTCCTGCTCTTTAGGCTTGGGACGCGAGTTTCCAGCTGTCGTGATTAGCCTTCTCCAAAACTGTGATGCTTACTTTATACTAGGTAAGAGGGAATCTGAAGTGAAGAAGGAGCGTTGCGTTCTTGACGTTCCTATCTGGTAGCAGAAGGAAAAACTGGCATTTACAATGTAGTATTGCAACTCCGTGATGGAGGTCCTCCCCAAAAGTAGAGAAGCACAGAAGAAGCAAGTGTCGGGGTGGAGATCCACAATATCAGCAGTATGCCAGGTGGAGAGTGGAGCTACCCCAGTAAGAGGTAGCTGCAAAACAGGAAAGAGTGTGGTTTAGAGGGGAAAAAAGATGTTCTGCCTGCACGGTGGAGTGAGTGTTTAAGTGTCTTCCTGCATACATGTGTCCTGTGTACATATGTGCACACCCTGAGGGGAAGAGGAAGATAGAAGAAAAGAGAGGTAAAGAAGGACCAGGTCATGAAGAACCTTGTATGTCTCTTTCCAAAAGTTTTGGATGTTATTCTGGAGAGTATGGAACTATTTTAAGCAGGCAAACACCATCGAACTTTTTTTTTAATAACCTTGTTAGAAGATTGGAAAATAGAAGGAGAAAATTGAGAACAGATTTTTTTTTTTTCTAGCCCCTGTACTTAATTCAGCTTTGTCCTGTGGAGTCAGGACCTTGGGCATCTCCTTGGCCAACAGGTGGAACCATGATTATAAAAAGTGATTGGACTGTGGTGGGGATTTTGATAATGTGGAGGCTATGCATGTGTGAGGGCAGGGTAGGTATATGGAAAATCTTTGTACCTTCCACTCAATTTTTCTGTCAATCTAAAACTGCTCTTAAAATTAAAATCCAGGGCCTCCCTCATGGCACGAGGGGTTAAGATGCAACCTATGAAGCTTTCCGCAGCCACTGCAGCACCAGTTCAATCCTGGGCCAAGGAGCTACCCACATGGCGCAGCAGATCTCTCCTAACTCGCCCGCTGCTTCCCTGAGCAGTTTATTTCAGTCATTCCTCCTGTTCTATTCCCCGCTCTGTCTCGTGAATCCTCTCACCCCCCTGCACCTCTGGCCTGTACACCAGTTCTTGTATGCATAAATAAATCTTAAAAAAAAAAAAAAAGTCCACTGGGGCCTCCCTGGTGGCCTAGCGGTTAAGTCTTAGCACTGTCACTACAGCCTGAGTTCAATCTGCAACCAAGGAGCTAACCCACATATGACATAGCAGACCTCTCCACTGCTCCCTTCAGCAGTGTATTTTAGTAGATCCACCTGTTCTTTTCCCCACTCTGTCTCTGATGTATCCTCTTACCCCCCCACCCCCCGCACCTCTGGCTTACACTCCACTTCTTATATGCATAAATAAAAATAAATCTTTTTTTAAAAGTCCATTAATAATGTTTTTAAAAGACTTGCAATAACTCGAAAGGCAGCTTGGAATAGGAAAAGAATGCTAAAGTGACAGTGAAAGTATGACTTTGGAAGTCATACTGCCACATTTCAATTCCTGCTCAATGTGTCTTCTGCATAACTTGTAGTTGTGACTTTAGTCAGAAGGTTTTAACATCTTTGTGCCTCTTTTCACATTTGTAAAATGAAGATAGCACATTCATTACAGAGTCATTTTGGGATTGAGAACACAGTCAAGTGCCGGTATATACTTTGCACTCAGTGATTAGTGGCATTTTTCTTTCACACAATGTGGCCCTGCTCCATTGGACTCCAGGAAAGAAGGAGAAGGGGCCAACCCCTGAAGAGGCAATTCAGAAATTGAAGGAGACAGAGGAAATACTGGTCAAGAAACAGGAGTTTCTGGAGCAGAAGATTCAACAGGAGCTACAAACAGCTAAGAAGCATGGGACCAAAAATAAGAGAGGTAATAGGGATAAAGGCACCAGTAGGGAGGGCCCAGGTGGGAAATAGCATCCTCTGGTTCTGATGTTCAGGGTGTGGGCTGGGTCAGCTGCCCTACAGGCTTTACGGAGGAAGAAAAGATTGGAGCAGCAACTGGCACAAACCGATGGGACATTATCCACCCTGGAGTTTCAGCGTGAGGCCATTGAGAATGCCACCACCAATACGGAAGTGCTTCGTACCATGGAGCTTGCTGCCAAAGGCATGAAGAAGGCCTACCAGGACATGTGGGTACGGGGAGGGGAGGAAAGTGGCACAGGCACTGGGGAGAGTTGCTTGATACTGTACTTTGAATTGTAAAACCTCTCAGTATGTGGATTTACAGTATAGATGCTGGTGATGGCTAGACTTTTGTCATCCTCCTTGCTTCTAGAAAGATCTCTGCTGGTTGGGGCAATGGGGAGGAAAGATGAGTGCATCTTATCCTCCCAGCATGACTGCTAGCTGTTTCTCAGCTGGAGCTTGCTGCTTTATAATCTTCTAGGGATCTCTTCTATCTGGTAGCCATGGACTTAACAGTCTGAGCCCACAGGCAAAAGGGGCTTCATTCAGGAGATGAGAAAGTCAGGGGAGTTGTTGCCTGATTTCTTGGCTATCTTGTTCTCAGGGACATTGACAAGGTGGATGAACTGATGGCTGACATCACAGAACAACAGGAGGTGGCCCAGCAGATCTCGGATGCCATTTGTAGGCCCATAGGCTTTGGAGATGATGTGGATGAGGTGATTGGGAGCAAGGGTTTGGGGGATTTTGGAGAAAGCATGGGACCATGCCAAGAGAATTGTGGGGCAGGTTTGAGAGGGAACTTCTGGAGTGGTATGTTTTTGGAAGTAGAAGTTTATTTTCTTTGACTTGAAGAGTCTTATTGTCCCGTACCCAGGATGAACTACTGGAGGAACTAGAAGAGCTGGAGCAGGAGGAATTGGACCAGAAATTGTTAAATGTGCACAACGAGGAGCAAGAACCCCCAGTCAAACTGCCCAGTGTACCCTCTACACGTCTGCCTGCAGGGCCAGGTACCAGGGCTATTTGTGGTCTCAAGGACTCATGAGGGTGGGTAGATATGGAAGAAGATTATTCCTCCTCCATCCTGCTTCAGAAACCAGGCCCAGGGCTGCTGCTACAGTCACTTAGGTTGTTGACTACATAAGGGCATCTGGGCCAAGGGGAATGGGGACTGACATGCAGCCTGTGCTCCTCTCAGCAAACTGTGTACCCTGATGCAGGATGCAGGAGCTGGGAAAAAGAGGCACCTTTTTCTTAGTGCAGAAAGGTGCACTGGGAATTAGCAGCAACCCAGCAAGCAGAAGGAGCACCCTGTACGTTCTTTGCTGGGGAGAGAATTCAGCAGGCTCTTAGTGTTTTAGCAGGGGTATTAGAGTTGCTCAGACCATAACACTTCTTTCTCTCTCTGGGTATCCTTGTCCCCAAAGTTGCCAAAGCGGATGAAGATGAAGACGAATTAAAGCAGTTGGCTGAGTGGGTATCCTGACAAGTCTGGCCTTGTCTTTCTAATGCTGCCTTCATTGCTCTCTTTTCCTTAAGTGCCAAGTGAGCTAAAGGAACTGAGCATAAAGGAACATAGCCTTTTTGGGGATGTCCTGCTAAAGGTGATAGTGTGACCCTGCCTGACAGAAGAATCTGTTGCTTTCCCATCCCTGGCTTAACTCTTGGTGCCGGAGGAGCCCCTGGCTCCCTTCTCTTTGATAGCTGTTACAGTGCCCTGTTCCCAATAAAGTTGGACAGATGGAACTTTAGTGCTTACACCACCTCGTCTGCACTGGAAATTCTTCCCCTGGTCCTTGAAGCTTTGTTTCAAGCAATGAAGAATAACTGGAGTAATGAGGGGCAGGGGCGGGGGGGAAGGGGGTGGTTAGAACATTGGCCAAATGGAATCTACCAGCCTACTCTGTGCCAGGCAGATACAGCCAGGCAGATGCAGCTATTTTTTTTTTCCTTCCAAGCTGGTTTGTCCTAGATTTACCTAGTGCCAAGGCTGAGGAAACTACTATCTATAATTTATCTTAGAACCACATGGAGTTGTCTCTGAGTCTTCCCTCAGCATTTTCCCTAAATCATGCCTCTGCCAAGAGAGCTCCATGGTTTACTACCTATTTTCTTTTTGCAACTGCCATTTTCACAGCCAGGGAGGGAGAACACAGGGTTAAAGGGGCAAGTAGCTTTCCTATATCCAGAACCCATAAATAACAGCTTTAGTTTGAAGTGGCATTTCTATATCCAGGAGCAGTAATGTGGGGGCCATGATTCACTGGGATTCTCTCAGTAATGGTTACAGGCAAGGGAGAAGAAGCCAAAACATTTCACATATCCCTTTGCACTAGAGAGATAGAGCCCTCACTAAGCAGCCACCAGGACCTCTACCTCACTGCTTCTTCATCTGTACACCCCCTCCCCCATGAGTCACAAGGGAACAATGTTGTGAGTTACAGTGTTGATTTAACAGGTATCAGGATTACTGGTTATAGGCTGGTTATAAGTCTTTCTTGCCCTCAGCTGCTAAGGTTCCCCAGAGGAAAGAATGTCTGACCCCAACTAATAAAACTAAATCAGAATTAGCTTTATTTTTGGTATAAAATATTTTTAGCTCCATGCCCTCCTGATTTGCTCCTCTTTCAGCCCCCTCCCTCAGCCACTTTCAGATACTGACTTGTTTGGCTTGCTGAATAGTTACGCTGGGGGCTGGCTGGCACATGGCCTCAAGGAGCCTGATCTCATTGGTGGGTTTCTCAGGCTGGAACTTGATTACCCAGGGGTTCTTGATGATGTCCAGGACGGTGGCACGCTTGGTGGCTTGGCTTAGCATCAGGAGGATCAGGTTCTAGTGCAGGGGAGAAAGATGTCTTGGCTAAGCTTGCCCCACAATGTGCCACACAGGCAATGAGCAGGTGGACCTAAGAGTTAGGCAGGACAGCCCAGCACACCACTCTGGTGAAAAGGGATGTGGCCCTGATTTTGTCCTGAAGAGCAAGGCATGGACCTCCCTGGAGGGGAGGGGAGGAGAGAGGATTCCTTGGGGAGATCTTTAGCATAATCCCCTTCTGGGCTATAAAGATAGAAGTGAAACCTACTTATCACTCACAGTGGGGTGGTGGCCCTTCAAGCACTCCCCAGGGTTCCAAGGCAGGGGCTAGGGCATGAGATGACTGGGAGTGGTGGGAGTGGTGGCAAGGAAGAACTTTCCACAGGGTTGGGACACCTAAGTTGGGTATTCCCTCTCTGTGGGTCATCCCTGAGGCCTCAGCCCTCCTGGGGGAGCCAGCACCTTGCACTCCTGGGAGATGTTGCAGTTGGATGGAAAAGTGACCTCCTTCTGAGTCTCTTTCAGCAGCTTCTTAAGATTGGTGTCATCAAAGGGCAGATGGGCAATCACTAGCGTGTAGAGGATGACACCCATGCTCCAAGTGTCAGACAGGAAAGGGTTGTAGGGCAAGCCTAGCAAGATCTCTGGGCAGGCATAGGCAAAGCTGCCGCAGTAGGTCTGGCTGAGGTGGGTAAAGCAGTTCATTTGGCGATAGGAAGAGCTAATACGCACAGCCTGGCCACTAGGCACCATCTTGGAGAAGCCAAAGTCCGATATCTTCACGTTCTCCCGCTTGTCCAGCAACAGGTTCTCCAACTTTAAGTCCCTACCAGCAGCAGAAAGGCTGGGGGTCAGGCTGGGGAGAGGGCTTAATATTAGACGTGGAGCTGAAGGGCTGGGGGTCAGAGGGTGGAGCTGAGGAAAGGCAAAGTGGGGAGGAAAGAGAATGCCTTTAGGAGGACAGAAGGTTGAGAGGAAGGAAAACCATGGTGGTGTGAACAGAGGAGAGAGGATGGGGCCAGAGGATCACTGGGACTTGCCATTGTGTTGTGTGAAGTGCTCTGCACTCTCCCCCCCTCCCCACCCCATCGAGTACTTGATAAATGTTCTTGACCAGGCGATTAAAATAGAGTGGATAAATGGGCCTAGACACTAAGGCAGGAGGTCAAGGGAAGAACAGAGGGTAGAAAATGGGAGACGTGCATAAAACCCTTGGAGAGCCCAAAGATCCCAGTCTGGATGGCAGTGTCCTCACCGGTGCACGATGCTCTTGCTATGCAAGTAGGCAATGCCCAAGGTCAGCTGGGAGAACCACTTGCCAGCAAGGTTCTCAGAGCAGGCCCCATAGTGCTGGATCCATTCAAGGACATCACCCCCTTGGGCCAGCTCCAAAATGATGTACACTCGGGATGTGGTCTCTATGGCCTGATAGAAGTTGATGAGGTGCTTATGCCTCAGGGTCTTCATTACCTGCCCCAGGAAGAGGGACCCATCAAACCTGGGAAGGAGGAACCCTGGCTGTGCTCCCAGCCCTCCTGCTCTCACTGCTACTTGCAACACAAACCCCGGAGGACTTGTGACCTGTAGGCAAACCCCGTTTTGTGCTTTCGCTTTTCTGAGGGGCTGGTGATAAGTAGGTCAGTGGAAAGAGGTTTGCCTCTAGGTTTTCCTAGCTGCTTAGGGAGATATTCAGTTCTGGCCCAACCCCTCCTTACCAGCCCCTTTCTGAGAAGCTACAAGCAGCTTGGTTACCAGTTCCCTCTACCAACCCCTCTTTCCAACCTGTATCTCACGGGGTAGGAATTTGTTAAGATAGTCCTCAGAGGCCTTCTTCTTTGAGATGATCTTGACAGCCACCATGACCTTCTGTTTTGTGTAGTAAGCCTCGTATACTGTGCCATAGGAGCCGTTGCCAATGATCTTGCCCACCTCGTAACCATACTCTTCCATGACGGAGCGATAGGCCACGGTGGTTGGGGCTGTCTCCGTGTCTTCCTTCCCCATGGTGTTGGGCTTAGTGAGAGCAGGAAGCCTTGCTACTTAAAAGCCTCCTGTGTGCTCAGGAAGCCAACTCCTCGCGCCTCTGAGAGCTAGGGTACCAAAGTGAACTTAGTCTCCAAATGCTTGCCAGGGAGACTGGGCTCAGCACTCCACTAGGAACTTGGAGAAGAAAGGAGAAGCAGTTCTTTGTTTCCACTGGCTGTTGTTACTTCTTTTTCCTCTTGGTTACGGAACTTCCTATGGTCCCATGTTCTACTCACCTCACAAATCACCTTCTATTCACCATTGCTCACAATGCTGGAGAATGAAGTGGAGTCTAGAACATTTTCATTCTTGGCAATCTGGTGAGTCTACCTCCACTGATCTGGTCACTTCAGCCACTCCTGATATAGAATGCCTCTGCCAGGCAGTGTGCAGAGCACTGACATTAAATAACCAAAAAAGCCCATAGAGACCCTATGCTCCTAGTGTTTATAATCCAGCATGAGAAACGTGAGTGTGAGAATATTTCAGAGAACTGTGAGGTATTGTAGAAGAATGTGCTTAAAATGCCTTTTTTTTTTTTTTTTTTTTTTGCTTAAAATAGCAATTGTTTTTGTAAGTGGCATTGGGCTTTTCTGGGTGTTTCATCTGGGTGGTCTCATGACAGTTGGGATGGTTTGTTTCTGTTGCATATGATCTTATTAATCAGCACTCTAGCCCAAGTTCCTGTACTTCATTGCATTTCAAGAGGAAAAAAGGGGCCTCCCTGGTGGCACAGGGATTAAAGTCTCAGCACTATCAAGATATCACCAGCCACTGCAACATGAGTTCAATCCCTGGCCAGGGAGCTAACCCACATGGTGCAGCAGACCTCTCCTGTCTCACCTGCTGCTCCCCTGAGCAGTGTATTTCAATCGATCTACCTGTTCTGCTCCCGACTCTGACTCAGGTGAATCCTCTCACACACACACCCCACCTCTGACCTCCACCCCAGCTCTTGTATGTATAAATAAATAAAAATAAATCTTTTTTAAAAATTAAAAAGTTGGGCCTCCACGGTGTCGCAGCAGGTTGAGCGCAGCACTGTGAAGCCTCTGCAGCATGGGTTCAATTCCCTGATGGCCAGGGAGAAACCCACATGATGTGGCAGACCTCTCCTGTCTCACCCGCTGCTACTCTCAGCAGTGTTTTCTGTCCATCTGCCTGTTCTGCTCCCCACTCTGTCTCTGGTGAATTCTCTCACCCTCCCACACCTCTGACCTGTACCCCAGTTCTTGTTTAAATAAATAAATCTTTTAAAAAAAAACTAAAAAAGAGGGGACAAAACAGAAGTTGCATGACCAGTTAAGCTTCATGTCCAAAATCACGAGCCATCATGTCCATATATTTATACAAGTAAAGACAGTTACAAATTACAAGGATAATTCAGAGATTCCACCTAACCTTGGGATGGAGTCTTGTCTTTTTTTAAAAAAAAAAATTTATTTATTTATGCATACAAGAGCTGGAGTACAGTCCAGAGGTGTGTGTGTGTGGGGGGGGGGAGTGGGTGAGAGGATTCACCAGAGATAGAGTGGAGAACAGAGCAGGCAGACTGACTGAAATACACTGCTGAGGGGAGCAGCTGGTGAGTCAGGAGAGGTCTGCTGTGCCATGTGGGTTGCTCCCTGGCTGGCCGGGGATCGAACTTGTGCTGCAGAGGCTGCAGTCAGCTTCATAGGTTGCATCTTAACCCCTTGCACCTCCAGGGAGGCCCTTGGATTCTTACCTTGCTTTCCATGGCCCTGAACCCTGAACCCTTCCCATCCCTTTAGCCATTCCTCTGACTTCACTGGAGCCTCACCTTTCTCTATCCATTCCTTATATTCTGGGGGTTCTATCACAGACCTTATTTCCTCAGACCTTTCAATAGAAAGGGTTCCTTAAGGATCTCAAATTACTACATCTGGGTTCCTTAAGGATCTCAAATTACTACATCAATGCTGACTGTTCCTAATCTCCAGGATATCTCTGGAGTTCCAAATCCAGCATCCATTTGCACACTGGAAATTACATGGGCACATCTCCCCCCTTACACTCATCATGCCCAAAACTGAACTCCTTATTTTCTTCCCCCAGACTTCCATTTTCTCTAAGTTCTATACTAGTCCTAAACTTAAACAGCAAGTGTCATCCCAGACTTTCCCTCTCCCTGCCTTAGTCCTTTTTTTTTTAAGATTTATTTTATTTCTACAGACAAGAACTGGGGCACAGGCCAAAGATGGGGGGTGGGGGGGTGGAGTGAGAGGATTCACCACAGAGTGGGGAACAGAACAGGCAGACTGAAATACACTGCTGAGGGGATCAGCGGGCGAGTCAGGAGAGGTCTGCTGCACCATGTGGGTCACCTCCCTGGCCGGGGATCGAACTCATGCTGCAGTGGTTGCAGATAGTTTCATAGGTTGCGTCTTAACCCCTTGCACCACCAGGGAGGCCCCCCTGCCTTAGTCTTTATGGCCAATCTGTCACTGAATCCTGCCTTTTTTGACTTCCTAATGATCCTTTTAAGAAAATATTTAAGGCTCACTGCCATTACCTTAATTCAAGCCCCTATCATTTCTTCACTATCAGTCCAGTAAGCCTTCTCCCCTCTAACCAGTTCACCCTGTAGGCCAAAGAGTAAATCTGATTTTATTCCCATTTAAAATAATTCAGTGTCTCCTCATAGGAAACAAAGTCCAACACCTTTCATGTGGCTTCACGATCTGCCTATCTGTCCAAGTTTATCTTTTAACATATGCGAAATGCTCAAAACAAGAGTTTTTTTGGGGGGAGAGGGAAACAGGGAATTGCTTTTCCTTGTTCTCCCTGCTCTCCTGGCAAACTCCTACTCTCCCTTCAGGACATAACTCATGAGCTTTTTTTAGGAAGTCTTTACTCAAGGCAAAGTTCAAAGTTCTTACATCCTGGTGCTCCCACAGCTGCAATACTTTTTGTTGCAGCACCTAATAATATTTGTAACTTCTTTTCTTGCTTTTACCACCCATTTGGCTATAAGGGAGGTTAAGTGATGAGAAATGGTAGGTGAACTCATAGGTTTGAGAAGAATGAAAGAGAATGGAAGAGTAATTTGGAAAAAGCAGTATCTCTGCACAGCAGAGAACTCACTCTTATTTGGAGAACACAATTTATAGACACATGTTCTTAAGCACGTAGTTTAAGATTCTGTTAGCATCCTGGATATAGGATCTTGAATATTGATAAGTAAATTGACGCAAGATTAAGAGTTGATTTGGTAGCAATAATGGGAGAGAAGCAACAAGAACACAGGCAAGAATGGTTGAGCAGCTCTCCTGCCCAGCCGTGACTACGCTCATGTTTGCCTTTCGTCGGCTATGGGGCGGTCATTGTAAGGCGAGGAAAGTCACCAGTACAGCTTCGGAAGGGTATTTTTATTTATGTACTTATTTTCTTGGCGGAAGCTATTCATGACGGTCGAGAGAGAAGCAATGCCATAAGATCCGTACTCGTTAGCACTCTTGCAAGAGCTGCGCCCCCACCGTCCTAGGCAGTGACGCCCGAAGCCTCACCCCTGCCTGGGCTGGGGGCCCTGAACTCTCAGCAGTCGGCCTCGGCAATCGGTTACGAGTCCCACTGTTCAGCCGGCACACGCTTCGGGGCATCCTCCGGCTGTGCGCCGTGCCACCGCCTGGCTTCAGTCTCCCGGACAGTCACTGGGCGCGCGCGGCCGGCGCCGCTCTCAGGCCTCCGCCGGCGCCCCAAATCTTCCCAGGGACACACGAATGGTGAGGCGCTGCCTCCGGTCCCGAAGGGGCGTCTGCGGACCCGTCGCAGAATCTCAGCCGCCCCTTCGACCCTAGAAAGCCGCGGGCCCAGCGCGGGAGCGGCCGCGGCGGCGGGGGCGTGGCCCGCCCCTGGGCGCCCGGAAAGGCGCTTTCCGCCGGGCTGAGGTCCCCGCGGGTGAGGGCGGAAGTGGTAAGACTGACGTGTCGCGGACGGCCTTCCTGATCGCCGGGAGGGCCACCCCGCTGGGGTCGGGCTGGCCGAGCCTGGCGGGGTCCCCAGAGATGGGCTGGGCCTCCTGCTGTGGAGAGCGCACCCGGGAGCACTTACCTGAGACGACTGCAGCGTTCCCGGAGCTGTGACCGCAGCCGCTGCGATCAGGCACGGCGGAGGCAGCTCGGCGGAGGTCGGCAGCCGGGCCCTCTCCAGGCAGCCCCTGGCGCGCCGCTCTGCGCGGAGACCCCGGCAGGAGCCCAAGGGCAGCTACGGGGCCGCAGAGGCCGCGGGCTCCGCCTGGGCCAGCCCCTCCCGCGCGGTGAGGACCCCGGGGCCGCGGCGGGAAGGTGCCTGAGGTGCGAGGCTGCGTGGCGTTGCCATGGAAACCGACTGGGGCTCGCGCCAAGGTCCCGGGCTGCCGGAGCGCGGGGTTGGGGGTGCATGGGTGCACCCCAGGTTGAAAGGTCTAGAAAGCAGAGACAGAGCCCAGTCTTTGGGACTGAGAGACGTGGTGTGGAAGTCGGGGGCGGTCTCCTGACTAGAGTGGGGAAAACTCCAGGGGGAGGAATTAAAGCCGTTGGGTGTCAGTTTGAAGGATCTGACTTAGGGTGTCGTGGGTTTGATCCTTGGTTTCCGTAACTGCAGGATTCCCTCAAACAGGTTCCACAGCCTTAAGGATGACAGTCCTAGGGCACCTTCGAAGTTGGAACTGCCAGTGGTTGCTATTCCTAATGCTGCTGCTGGGCACAGGCTACGAGCCAGGAGTGGAAGGACTGACACACTACAAAGCTGGAGACCCTGTCATTCTTTATGTCAACAAAGTGGGACCCTACCATAACCCTCAAGAGACCTACCACTACTATCAGCTTCCAGTCTGCAGCCCTGAAAAGATACGTCACAAAAGCCTTAGCCTGGGTGAAGTGCTGGATGGGGACCGCATGGCTGAATCTTTGTACGAGATCCGCTTTCGGGAGAATGTGGAGAAGAGAGTTCTGTGCCACATGAAGCTCAGTTCTGCACAGGTCAGCCTCTCCACATTGCCTAACTTAGCCTTCCCTACCAGGGACTAATAACAGTGCCTTGTGTTTGTGGTTTTCAGAGCACCTTCACAGAAATGTTGTGTCTTGATTTTAACTACAACCCTGTGTGACAGGCAGGGTAGGTAGTAGTATTTGCATTCAGTTGACAAACATATTTGCTTAGACGTGACTTTTTTCAAGGCTGCATAGATAGTGAATTGCAGAACTGAAGTTCCTGTCTCCAAGCTTCTCTGTTGGTAATAAGATCCCAACTACCATTCTTATGTAGTAGTTCCCTTCCATAACAATCTCTTAGCTCTTTCTTAATTATTCCTTTACACTACACCTAGTCTTCCCCACCATGCTTTTTTTTTTCTTTAGCAAATCTGATCTTAGGGCACTTTCCCTTATCTGCTCCAGGCCTTCTTACACCTTCTTGCCTCTTTTTTCTAGGCTTTAACCATGTCAAGTTATACCTGCTTTTTGGAGAATCCCAGCACACTAGGATCTAACCCAGTGGTTCTCAACAGGGGGCAGTTTTGCTTTCCAAGGGACATTTGTCAATGTCTGGAGATTTTTTTTTTTAATATAGTGTTTCTAAGACTTTTTTTTTTTTTAGATATTTATTTATTTATACAAGCACTGGGTACAGTCAGAAGCGCAGGAGGGTGAAAGAATTCACCAGAGCCAGAGCAGGGAATAGAACAGGCAGACTGACGAAATACACTGCTGAGAGGAGCAGCAGGTGAGACAGGAGAGGTCTGTCGCACCATGTGGGATCCTCGTTGGTGGCCAGGGATCGAACTGGCACTGCAGAGGCTGCGGGCAGCTTTGCAGCCCAGCGCTCAACCGCTGCGCCACCAGGGGAGGCCCTGGAGATATTTTTGATTGTCACTACTGTAGGGGTGAGAGGGTGCTAGTGGGAAGAAGCAGCCAGGGATGGTGCATCTTATAATGCACACAGATCAACCCCACAACACAGAATTACCCAGCCCCAAATGTCAGTAGGGCAGAGGTTGAGATGCCATGCTCGTATGCTGGGAAGGCTTGTTTTACTCTTGACTTGCTCTTTGTAGGTGGAGCAGCTGCGCCAGGCCATTGAGGAACTGTACTACTTTGAATTTGTGGTGGACGACTTGCCCATCCGTGGCTTTGTGGGCTACATGGAGGAGAGTGGCTTCCTGCCTCACAGCCACAAGATAGGACTCTGGACCCATTTGGACTTCCACCTAGAATTCCATGGAGATCGAATTATATTTGCCAATGTCTCAGTGCGGGATGTCAAGCCCCACAGCTTAGATGGGTTACGACCTGATGAGTTCCTAGGCCTTACACACACTTACAGTGTGCGCTGGTCTGAGACTTCAGTGGAGCGTCGGAGTGACAGGCGCCGTGGTGATGATAGCGGTTTCTTTCCACGAACATTAGAAATCCACTGGTTGTCTATTATTAATTCCATGGTGCTTGTGTTTTTACTGGTGGGTTTTGTGGCTGTCATTCTCATGCGTGTGCTTCGGAATGACCTGGCTCGGTACAATTTGGATGAGGAGACGTCCTCTGGAGGGTCTGGTGATGACTTTGACCAAGGTGACAATGGCTGGAAAATTATCCATACAGATGTCTTCCGCTTCCCTCCATACCGTGGTCTGCTCTGTGCTGTGCTGGGCGTGGGTGCCCAGTTCCTGGCCCTTGGCACCGGTGAGGTGATACAAATTAATCAGGGTTTTCTCTTAAGGGCTAGAACTAAGTAGGTGACTTGTTCAGAAAAGGTCTGCAGATCTTCTCTTCTGTCCAAGGTGAGGGGCAAACCTAAGGGATTGGGTGGCACTAGCAAGGATATATAATAGTCTATTGTGGGTTTTCTGAACAGCAGAATTGAGGGATATTGTTTTGCTGCTGGAGGGCCTGGGTCTGGGAGAAAGGGGAAAAATTTCTCTGAAATTGTTAGAAGAGTGACAAGCGAAACCTAACACAAGTTCTCCACCGCTACTCTGTAGGCATTATTGTCATGGCGCTGCTGGGCATGTTCAACGTACACCGTCATGGGGCCATTAACTCAGCGGCCATCTTGTTGTATGCCCTGACCTGCTGCATCTCTGGCTACGTGTCCAGCCACTTCTACCGGCAGATTGGCGGCGAGCGCTGGGTGTGGAACATTATTCTCACCACCAGTCTCTTCTCTGGTAAGGACCACCCTTTCCATGGTGGGCTGACTTGGAACTTAGAGCACATCAAGGAATCTGGGATAGAGTCAGATAGAAAATGAAAACAATTAGAAAAACTACCCAAAAGACATTAATGGTTCTTTTGTATAATGTATAGTTTTAAATTCAGTCCTTAAATGTCCTGAGCAGCATGGCTAGCACGGGAGGTTTTATTTTGGAGATAGGCTGCCCAACTCTAGCCTTTTAAAGGCAGTAGTAGCTTGCAGTAAAAACCTTTCATGTTGTCAATCCCGTGTCTGGTTTCTATTCCATCCCTATATGTGTAAACGCTGAAAACAGGGCCTTAATCCAAAGAAGTATCTCATGCGAGGACTCACTGATACCACAGCAGGACAGGGCCTGGGGGGCAGGTGGATAGTGTCACTTTTAGATCACTACCTCATAGCAGCCTTGATCCTTAGTGATAGTGAATAGCAAAGGTGTATTGATAAGGAACAAGGAATAGGATATGAAAGGGTCCAGTCTACCTGGAGGCAGGGTGCTTCACTCTCGCCCATTTAGGTCCAGTCTGAGTGAGTGTCCCCAGGGATGTAGCTCCTAGTCCTGATCTTCCCTCCGGGGGCCCATCCCTGCAGTACCTTTCTTCCTGACGTGGAGTGTGGTGAACTCGGTGCATTGGGCCAATGGTTCGACACAGGCTCTGCCAGCTACCACCATCCTGCTGCTTCTCACGGTTTGGCTGCTAGTGGGCTTTCCCCTGACTGTCATTGGCGGCATCTTCGGGAAGAACAACGCTAGCCCCTTTGATGCACCTTGTCGCACCAAGAACATCGCCCGGGAAATCCCGCCACAGCCTTGGTACAAGTCTACTCTCATCCACATGACTGTTGGAGGCTTTCTGCCTTTCAGGTAACCTCCCCTTGTTCCATGGCCATCACTCCCCGCTCAGCATTCCATGACCTTCACTTTTCCTTTCACCACTCACCCTGTAACCTAACCCAGGTTCAGTGATAATCCCTGGTTCAGCTCTACCACTGAGAAATCATTAAATGGTGTCTCCTCTTCTCAAGAAAGACTGAGTTTGAATCAGTTCAGGATGTCTCACATGTAAAGCTCTCCAGAGACATTGCACCTTTCACCATTTACCTGGTTTCTGACTTTGGTATCTACAGGTACCAGGTGGGGCTTAAAGTCCATTCAATTACTCACTCAATTTATTTAATATATTAGTCCCCCCTTATCTATAGTTTCACTTTTATGGTTTCAGTTATCTGCAGCCACCCACAGCCCAAAAATATTATGTACAATAAGATATTCTGAGAGATCACATTCACATAACTTCTATTACAGTATATTTGTTATAATTGTTCTACTTTATTATTAGCTGTAGTTAATCTCTTACTGTGCCTAGTTTATATTATACATTGTATATGTATATATATATAAACTATATATATGAAAAAACATAGTATGTATAGGTAGCATTCAATACTATTTGAGGTTTCTGGCATCCACTGAGGGTCTCAGAATGTATCCCCAGATGATGGGGTGGGGGGCCCTCTAGTGCCAGACAGATAAGGCAGTAGAAAATAAAACAGACAAGATTCCTGCTCTGAACGTATCAAGGAAGATGTTCTGGAAATGAGAGCCGCTAATCAACAGGTAAAAGATCCCCAGAAAGGCATGGACTCTAATGCAGGGAGCAGAGAGGACTCACCTTCCACCGTAGCAGGAGGGTTGGTGGCTGGGTTTTGGCCTGGCCAATGTGCTAGCAGCGCACAGCCCCTTAACGCGCTGTGCCGTCTCTTCTCTTCACAGTGCCATCTCTGTGGAGCTGTACTACATCTTCGCCACAGTATGGGGCCGGGAGCAGTACACCCTGTATGGCATCCTCTTCTTTGTCTTCGCCATTCTGCTGAGCGTCGGCGCGTGCATCTCCATTGCGCTCACCTACTTCCAATTGTCTGGGGAGGATTATCGCTGGTGGTGGCGATCTGTGCTCAGTGTTGGCTCCACTGGGCTCTTCATCTTCCTCTACTCAGTTTTCTACTATGCCCGGCGCTCCAATATGTCAGGGGCGGTACAGACCGTAGAGTTCTTTGGCTACTCCTTACTCACTGGTTACATCTTCTTCCTGATGTTGGGTACCATCTCCTTTTTTTCTTCCCTAAAGTTCATCCGGTATATCTATGTTAACCTCAAGATGGACTGAGTTTGGGGTGGCAAAACTATTGCTCTTCTCTCCCGATCTTCACACACTATTGATCGCTTACCAGCTCGTCTCACCGAATGACTGAATTGTGTGATGGCACTGTAGCCTTCCCACCGTGGTCTGGGCCTCCCTTCCCCAGAGAGGGCCTGGAAACCAAAAATCTCTATTATATAAGGAGTATATATTTGAACTTTTTAAGTTGCCTTTAGTTTTGGCCTTGACTTTTCATTTTACAAATACCAAAATAAAATTTATTAAGAAAAAGGGTTTGGTCTCAATATAGGAACCTGAGCCCGACAGTTAAGGGCAGGGTCCACAGAAAGCCAGATCCGCCGCCGAAAGCGCGAGGCCCGAGTTCTGCGCGGAGCTTGGGAACTCTCGGCTCGGGGAACCTGCGTTGCCAGAGTCCTGTTTCCGCGGGCGCTCGAGCCGACGGAAGTGGCCGCGCTGGAGTCCCCAGCGGGAAGCGAATTGAATCACCCTGGCGACGGGAGCGGCGCGGAGCAACGCCCTTTCCGCCGGAAGTGGGGTCCAGAAACTCCACGTGCGGTCCCTCCCCCTACCGGCCGCCGCGGCGGCTCCGCTGCTGCCATGGAGCCCGCGGGTCTGGAGCAGATCCTTCGGGAGCTGCTGCAGCCGGACACCGAACGCATCCGCCGGGTACGGGGCAGGCGGGACAAAGCCGGGCCAAGCGGGAGGTTGCGGGCAAGGCCAGACTCTGACCCCCAGCCTCTCCCCAGGCCACCGAGCAGCTCCAGATCGCTCTTCGGGACCCCGCCGCCCTGCCCGCGCTCTGCGACCTGCTGGCCTCGGCCGCCGACCCTCAGGTGATTCTCCTGCCCCCCTCCCGCGGAGCCGGCCACCCGGCGCCTGGCCCCTGCGGCCCACTCAGCACTTTCCTGCCCGATCCCAGACATGTCCCCGTCTTCGTCCCAGATCCGCCAGTTTGCGGCCGTGCTGACCCGCAGACGACTGAGCACCCGCTGGCGACGGCTGGCGGCGGATCTTCGGGAGAGGTGGGCTGGGCCAGGGGCGGGACGGGGTAGGCTGAGGCGGCTCTGGAGCAGGCCCGGTGCCAAATACCTGCCACCTGTGTTCCAGCCTCAAGTCCCTGGTTCTGACGGCACTCCAGAAAGAAACAGCGTAAGTGCCTACTCGCTGCTTCTGGGGATTCTGACTGACTTCAGGCTGAGATCCCCTTTGGGCCTCTGCCTTCCCTTTCAGCTGCTGGCTGGGACTTGGGGAGGTGGGGGGAGGCAGCAACTTCTATTTCTAGATCAAGGGTGGAGCATGAGTCCTAAGACTGCTGAAGACAAAATTTCTTGAGAATATGCTATGATGGTCTGCCAAACCTAAGTTAGAGGAGTGGAACAGAAGCTCAGTCTAAGTGAGGACAGGCTCACCAGATCACACACCCACCAGACTGCGCCTCCCTCTGAGTGGCTGCCTAATGTGTCCCAACTGGGCAGAGACCCTGTACCCATGCATGGAGGTTTCTCCCCTGGCTACCACATGGAGACTGGGCCAGTGAATGCAGGGGGAGGTATTGGAGGGTGATTGGGGGTGGGGGGATTCTCTTCTGTTTGCAGGCACTCTGTGAGCCTTAGTCTGGCCCAGCTCTCAGCAACCATTTTTCGAAAGGAAGGCCTGGAGGCCTGGCCTCAGCTCATGCAGCTACTTCAACACAGTACCCACAGCCCCCACCTGCCAGAGAGAGAGGTAGGAGCATGTGCTTGGTCATCATGTGGTTGGAAAGGAGGGCTGGAGAAGCCCTCCTTGGAACGACCATGGAAATGTTTTTTCTCTCATCCCCGCGCCTGAACAGATGGGACTTTTATTGCTAAGTGTGCTGGTGTCCTCCCGACCCGAGGCCTTCCAGCGCCACCACCGGGAACTTCTTCGGCTTCTAAATGAGACCCTTGGTGAGGTGGGCTCTCCTGGCCTCCTCTTCTACTCCCTGCGCACACTAACCACGATGGCCCCCTACCTCGGCACTGAGGATGTGGTGAGATGTGGGCTCTTACCTCCCCTGGCTCCCTACCCTCGGTTCTTCTCACCCTTGTGGGTTGCACATTCTTTCTGCCTCTTGTTCTTCCTGACAATTGAGAAGGGATACTCTGGGTGGCTGCCTGGCTTCCAGGAAGCTGCCAGCTTCTAGGGTCTTAGGTTAGGGATGCGTGCTTTCTGTGATTCGTCTCATCCTGTGTCCTCCAGCCACTCGCACGGATATTGGTGCCCAAACTCCTCATGGCTGTGCAAACTCTGATCCCTGTAGATGAGGTGAGGACAGGTGGGCAGGAGCATCCAACCAGGTTCCCTGAAGAAGAATGCAGTAACTTAATTACTTGTCTGGCAGGCAAAGGCCTGTGAGGCCGTAGAGGCCCTGGATGAACTGCTGGAGTCAGAAGTGCCCATCATCACCTCCCATCTCTCGGAGGTCCTCAACTTCTGCCTGGGGGTGAGTCTGGAGTGAGCATACCCCTGTTGCTTGTTCTGCTGGAAGGTTCCTTGCCTGTCTCTGATTCTCATTGGTCTCTGGATAGGTGGCTAGAAACGTGGCCCTGGGTGATGCGATACGTGTGCGTATTCTCTGCTGCCTCACTTTCTTGGTGAAAGTCAAGAGCAAGGTGAGTGCCTTCTGACACACAGCACTCCAGCCCCATTTCCACTCTCCTTCACTCCCAGGGCTTTCTGTCCATCTCGGGGTATCTGAAATACTACAGCTAAGATGTCCAAGACTTGATCTGGCTTTTTCCTAGCTTCTGGCTGGGACATTAGGAATGTCTTTCCAGACCCCTTGGAAGGCTCTAAATTTTTTTTTTTTTTAAAGATTTATTTATTTATTTATACAAGCACTGGGTACAGTCAGAAGCGCGGGAGGGTGAGAGAATTCACCAGAGCAGGGAGCAGAGCAGGCAGAAGGACCGAAGTACACTGCTGAGGGGAGCAGCGGGCGGCAGGAGAGGTCTGCGCGCCATGTGGGACCCTCCTCCGGTGGCCGGGGAGCAGCCGGGGATCGAACCAGCACTGCAGAGGCTGTGGGCAGCTTCACAACCCAGCGCTCAACCGCTGCGCCACCTTGGAAGGCTCTAATTTTTAATGGTGAGTCCATCTTGAGAGCAGAGTCTCAGGGACACTATTCTCCCATCCTTTTCAAGGCCTTACTGAAGAATCGTCTTCTGCCACCTTTGCTGCACACCCTCTTCCCTATAATGGCTGCTGAGCCCCCCCTCGGCCAGCTGGATCCCGAGGACCAGGATTCAGAGGAAGAAGAGCTAGAAATTGGACTGGCTGGGGAGACTCCCAAGCACTTTGCTGTACAGGTGGGATGGAGGATTGTTGCTGGGGCCAGGCATCCAATGACTGTGGGAGGTTGGGGGGCAGATTCAGAGACAGGCAACTTTTTCAGGTCGTGGACATGCTGGCGTTACATTTGCCCCCAGAGAAGCTCTGTCCCCTTCTGGTATGAATCTTTCTCTCTTGTCCTTGTGGTGCTCCCACCCCCAGTTGTGCTTGGATCCCTGTGGCCAAGGATGTGTGGGGTCCTGGTGGGTGTGAAGGGCCTGTTGATCCAAGAATGGCAGGCTCAGGCTGGGGTTTCAGAGAGTAACATGTGCTCTCCTAGATGCCCATGCTGGAGGAGGCCTTGCGGAGTGAGAGCCCATACCAGCGCAAGGCTGGGCTCCTGGTGCTGGCTGTGCTGTCTGATGGAGCTGGCGACCATATCAGACAGAGGTGTTTATTCCCCTGCCCCAGGGTGAGGGTGGACCACGGGAAGGAAGACCGCATGGCACGTGGTGACCTTGGTCTGTGCTTGTTCAAGCCTAATCAGCTGTGGCATTTCGCCACACTCTCAAAAAAGTCCTGGATTGGAAGATAAAATACACGGCGACTCCAACCATTGGAGTTAGGGGGTGATGCCCACCCTCTGGTGACAGATAGCCTTAAGTTTTCCTCGGGGGAAGGAGAATAGATCAGCCTAGGGCTCGTGGATCCTGCCTTCAGACCCTGCCCTCTGTCTTGCCTGATCAGACTGCTGCCTCCACTGCTGCAGATCGTGTGCAAGGGCCTCGCAGACCCATCACAAGTTGTACGCAATGCTGCGCTATTTGCCCTGGGCCAGTTCTCAGAGAACCTACAGGTCAGCAGGGCTTAATGTGGGCAGCCACATTTCCTGGGGCCCAGCATGCTCTCAGCATCATCTCCTCCGGCATCCCTCCTCTGTTGGCACTGATGTGCGTGCCCTGCAATTGAGCTGACTCGGGGCCACCTTTCTTCTTCCCTAGCCTCATATCAGCAGCTATTCAGGGGAGGTGATGCCACTGCTCCTGACCTACTTGAAGTCGGTGCCTCCAGGGCACACACACCACCTAGCCAAGGCCTGCTATGCCCTGGAGAATTTTGTGGAGAATCTCGGTAGTGATGACAGTGGGGGTTGGGAGTAGGATATCGCTTTGGCTAAAGAGGCCAGGATGTGCAACTGTCTGAAACCCAGCCTGTGGTGGGGAGAGGGCTGCAGTGGGCCACAAAGAGGGTTGGCCTGGAGGGAGATGGGCCCCCACAAGGTATGAGTTGTGTGTTGGTTGTTAGAGGAAGTGCTTTTTCCCACAGGATCTAAAGTACAGCCCTACCTTCCGGAGCTTATAGAGTGTATGCTGCAGCCCCTGAGGAGCCCCAGTAGCCCCCGGGCCAAGGAGCTGGCTGTGAGCGCCCTGGGGGCCATTGGTGAGGCACAAAGAGCTGAAGGTGGGGGCATGGGTTCACTCAGACAGTCCTGCGGCAGGTGGCCCTGGCCCCCCTCTAGCTCTGATCCTCTCCTTCCATCCTGCAGCTACGGCTGCCCAGGCCTCCCTGCTGCCCTACTTCCCCACCATCATGGAGCACCTGCGGGAATTCCTGTTGACAGGCCGTGAAGACCTTCAGCCTGTGCAGATCCAGAGCCTGGGTGAGTCGGGTTCCCTGTCCAGGGAAAGGCTGATGCTCACCTGGTGTTCCCAGAGCTTTTTCCCAGGGCAGTACAGGTGTCTTCTCATCGCAGTGCTAATAAGCTCTGGTCTCCACAGAGACACTGGGGGTGCTGGCACGAGCAGTGGGGGAGCCCATGAGGCCCCTGGCTGAGGAATGCTGCCAGCTGGGGCTGGGCCTATGCGACCAGGTAGACGACCCTGACTTGCGGCGCTGCACGTGAGTGAGCCCTCACCCCATGCTTCCTGCCCACCCTCTGGATCCACGGCCCCCAGTCCCCTGGTTCTAAACCATAGGCTTCCCCAGGCTCTCCCGTCTGGTCTGGCTACAGCAGTCAGGACTGTACAGCGCCCACCTGCCCCCACCAGGTACAGCCTGTTTGCAGCCTTATCGGGGCTGATGGGTGAAGGCCTGGCCCCCCACCTGCAGCAGATCATCATGCTCATGTTGTTATCGCTGCGTTCTACTGAGGGCATTGTGGTGAGCAGAACGGGTGGGCTGGACTGGGTGGGGAAGGCGAGCCCTGGGATGGGGTTTATCTCCTGGGCCCCACTAAGCCAAAGTCCTGCTGTGCTGCTGTCCAGCCTCAGTATGACGGAAGCAGCTCCTTTCTTCTGTTTGACGATGAGAGTGATGAGGAGGAAGAGGAGGAACTCATGGATGAGGATGAGGAAGAGGAGGAAGACTCTGAGATCTCAGGGTGCGAAGGGGGACTGTTCTACTCATAGGAATCAAGCTTTGGATGGGGGCCCAGTGCTGGATCCACTCCTGCTCGTGTCCCATTTAGGCCTGACGGCGGCTGCCTCCCACCTGTAGGTACAGCGTGGAAAACGCCTTCTTTGACGAGAAGGAAGACACTTGTGCAGCCCTAGGGGAGATCTCTGTGAATGCCAGGTGAGCCTCGGCCCTTCCCTCACCCTGGGAACCCTGCCTGTGAATCCCTTCCCCACGGCCATGTGTTTGCCCACAGTGTGGCCTTTCTTCCCTACATGGAGACTGTTTTCGAAGAAGTCTTCAAACTGCTGGAGGTGAATATGCCCGTGAGTCCTGGGGCCCTGGGCTCTGTGCTAGCCCCGCACACTGAGCAGGCACATCTGCCCTCTTCCTCCTGCAGTGCCCTCACCTAAATGTGCGGAAGGCAGCACACGAAGCCCTGGGTCAGTTCTGCTGTGCACTGCACAAGGCTTGTCAGAGCTGCCCCTCAGAACCCAACACTGCTGGTGAGGAAGGGAGGCCAGGGCTGGTCTGGGCCTCCGGTGAGGGGGGACAGCGCAGGGTCTGCGTAGGGCTTCAGCCAAGAATGTCCCCAGCTCTGCAGGCTGCCCTGGCCCGGGTGGTGCCATCCTACATGCAGGCAGTCAACGGGGAGCGCGAGCGCCAGGTGGTGATGGCTGTACTGGGGGCCCTGACTGGGGTGCTGCGCAGCTGTGGGGCCCTCACGCTGCAACCCCCCGGGCGCCTTGCTGAGCTCTGCAGCATGCTCAAGACTGTGCTGCAGAGGAAGGTGAGCAGGGTGGGCACAAGCAGTGGGGAGCCCATGGAGCAGCTGCGGGGCCGGGCCAGATGGGCATAATTAGACGCCTCAACTCCAGCTTCTCCCTTTCCCCTACCCCATTGAACAAAGAGGCAGGAGAGCACAGGCTTTCCTCTTCCTGAGCTGGGCTGCCTCTTCCCACAGACAGCCTGTCAGGACTTGGAGGAGGAGGAGGAGGAGGAGGAAGAGGAGCAGGTGAGAGCCACGAGTGCATGCTGTGGGAGCAGGCCGTGCAGTCATCTCCACGGGGCAGGGGTGGACAGTGTACTTGGGCTTGGCTGGCAGACCCAGGGCTGCTAAAAGATTGGTAATGGCTCTGGATGATACAACTCTGCTCCCACCAAGGCAGGGAGAATTCAGGGAAAGATTCCTGGAGGTAGGGGTTTGGGGCAGGCTCGGATCAATTGGTGAGGAGGAGGACCGGGAAATAAAGCAGGACTGCATGCAAGCCGACGAAGGGCAGCCTGGGCACCACCTGCAGGAGTGGCAGAGCAGGTAGGAAGTACCCCAGTCACAGAGCTGGCCCATTGTTCCAACCCTGACCTGGCTCCACAGGCTGAATATGATGCCATGTTGCTGGAGCATGCTGGTGAGGCCCTCCCTGCCCTGGCAGCAGCAGCCGGGGGAGACGCTTTTGCCCCCTTTTTTGCTGGCTTTTTGCCATTACTGCTTTGCAAGACGGTGAGTGTTCCTGATTTCAACCTCCATTCTGCCCATGAGCCCTGTGCCCAGCCCTGCCCCTCACTCTACCCCCTGCCCTAACCCCAGGCTGACTTGTATTGCTCTCTGCCAACAGAAACAGGGCTGCACAGTGGCAGAGAAGTCCTTTGCCGTGGGGACTCTGGCAGAGTCCATTCAGGGCCTGGGTGCTGCCTCAGCTCAGTTTGTGTCCCGGCTGCTCCCTGTGCTGTTGAGCACTGCCCGGGAGGCAGACCCTGAGGTGCGGAGCAATGCCATCTTTGGGCTGGGTGTGCTGGCAGAGCATGGGGGTCGCCCCGCCCAGGAGTATCCTCAGCTTACAGGTGGGGGAGCGGTGGGGTGGGGAGGAGGGTATCCCTGGGGCTCGGGCACCGGAGGGGCCTGCTGTGTGTGCCTGTTCCTTGACTGTGAACCAGACACTTCCCTAAGCTGCTGGGGCTCCTGTTGCCCCTCCTGGCCAGGGAGCGCCATGACCGTGTCCGAGACAACATCTGTGGGGCACTCGCCCGCCTGCTTATGGCCAACCCCACCAGGAAACCAGAGCCCCAGGTGAGAGATGAGGGCTTTAGGCAGGGCCATGGAGCCAGGGGCGGTGCAGAGGCTGCAAGGCCAGGGCCCTGAGCCGTGTGTTTGTCCAGGTGCTGGCTGCTCTGCTGCATGCCCTGCCCCTGAAGGAAGACTTGGAGGAGTGGGTCACCATCGGGCACCTCTTCAGCTTCCTGTACCAGAACAGCCCTGACCAGGTAACCGCCTGCTGGGTACCCCATGGAGGGGATCTGGACACTCCAGTCTCGGTGACGGGCAAGTCAGATGTGGTGGCAATTTGAGCAGCCTACCGCACTCCTTTCTCCAGCTTTCTCATTGATCTGCAAGGATTGGTAGCCAGGCTTATAATGGGAGAGGAAGGGCGCCCACTTCATGTAGCAGTTTTCCTTGGGGAGACACCATCCTCCCTGGTCATTTCTACTCTCTGATCTGAGCCAGTTGTAGCTTTCCATAGCCAATTTCCTAATTTTTAGACTGTTCCATTGGACCTGGGTACCTCTGGGCCACCCTACCATCCATTCAGTAGAGCAAATTCTGAAAAGAAAGTGCCTGCTCTAATTGGCTAGGTGTAGACTCGGGTTAGTGTGTCTGTCAACAGCTTTAGCAACTGGTCTGTTCGTGGAGCTCCTGGGCATTTTTTGGTCTTGAGACCAGGACTTTGGTCACCTTTGGCCACAGTCCTGTCCCCTCCAGAAAAAAAAATTGTTTCATGGGTCCTTCTCCCATTGTTTTGGATACCTTTGAATTATTACCAAGCTCAAACAGTCCTGGTGTGACACTCCTCAGTCCCCACCACCCAGTGCTGGGGCCCCAGGTGCTACTGCTGTCCCTGAGTCAAGCATTTTCCCACAGGTTGTCGATGTTGCTCCTGAGCTTCTGCGCATCTGCAGCTTCATTCTGGCTGACAAGATCCCAGCAGGTAAGGCCAGCAGTGCTGGGCAAAGGGTGTGGGGCAGCTAGGGGTTGGGAGTCAGCGCTCCTCTTCCACTCTCTCCCTCTACTCTCTGCAGACACAAAGTCCGCACTGCTGCTGCTCCTGACCTTCTTGGCCAAGCAGCACAACAACAGCTTCCACTCAGCACTGGGCTCATTGCCTGACGACAAGGCCCAAGAGCTTCAGGCTGCCCTGGGCCTCACCTAGACTGCAGGCTGCAGCTGGGCCAGAGAGAAGAGCACCTCGTCCAGGCCCCCAGATCATCTCTTACCCCAGTTCTAGTACACACCTTACCAAAGATTCTGGGACTCACACACCCAGCAGGAGACTCTCAGTCCTGCTTGCTGCCTTATGGTTCTGGGACTCGATCTGTTACACAGTGGGACAATGCCAACGATCCATGACATCATACTGTAATAAAGGCAGTTTCTTTTCTGCTTGAACAGAAACTGACAGAAGGATAGAAATGCAGGTTCAGAAATGAGGCAAGCAGAGGCTGGTGAGGCAAAACATGTTTAATATAGCTGGTTTCCTGGCGGCTTTGTTAATGGTCTCTAACCTACATGGAATCGGGGCCCAGGCTGGATCAGGAGGCGTCCATATGGCTTCTCTTGTTCCACATAAAGGATCTTCTGTGCTGAGAGCACTAACCAAGAGAGAGGAGAGGGTGAGTTGGGGCACTCCATCAGTGGCCTCTTGTGTGTGTGTCCCCAACACATAGGTGACCACACTCACCAAGGAGCAGGTAGAAGACTCGGGCGGCCATCCTGCGGGGGCTGAGAGGTGGCACCAGACTGTTGAAGTCGGGCTCCTGGTTCGCTTGCAGCTGTAGTGCCACTGCCCTGTGGGGATCAAGAACTGTTAGTTTAGGCCCCATCCCAGACCCACCGCACTGAGGAATCCCTTCCCTGGTACCTGTGCACAGCCTCCAGGGAGAGCAGTTCAAGCTCTGGAGACAGCTCCGAAGGCATCTCCATGGGCACCTCAGGGAGTTCAGGCACTACAGGCAATGCAGGGGGCTCTAGCTGCTCCACCTCAGGCCAGGCCCTAAAAACATGAGAGTTGGGACAAAGGAAGCTGTGACAGACAGGGGCACACCCATCCTACCTGCTGTCTTTCATGGGGCAGGCTACAGTCAAACCCACCCGGCCTGGCTGCTTACCACCGTTCCTCTGGGGGGATGAGGCTGGGGCGGGGCTTCTCCTCAGCCATTTCCAAGGACAGCTCTGTGGAGGGAGGGGAAGGTCCTGAGTGGCCAGATTCCTTCGGGCCGCCTGGTTGAACTGGATGCCAGAGGTGGGCAGTGACTTAAAAGCACCCAGGTGGGAGAAATGGACAGTCTGCCTGCTTCCTCGTGTGACACTCTCCCTCTGATAAAGATTTGGCAGTTGGGATACCAGTTTCCTCGGACAGTGATAAGGGTGGTAGTTTGTGTCCCTCTTCGCCAAGTGCTTACCTGAAGACAGCATAAGGGGCCCACTGGGCTCCTGGGTCTCCCTTAGTACCTGGGAATGAGAAGAAGCCCACTGAGACCCCAAGCATCACAGAAGACCTGGGTCAGAGGTGAAGTGTTTCAGTGCTGAACCAGCCTTGGCTCTAGGACGGGGCACAACCTGGGCCCGAGACTCAGCCCTGTTGGCTCATGTGAGCAGGAGGCAGCCTACTGGAGCCCTGACAAGACCAGTCTCTCCAGTGAAGGGGTAAGGGCAGTTACCTCAATATCACTCAGCGTTTCAGCCTTTCTCCTTTCCTCCTCAGCTGCCAACTCCCTCTCAGCAGCCTCTTCAGGCTCCAGGGGTGGCTTTCGCCTGAGCGCTCTTGGAGGTGGCTGGGCACAGTGGGTCCAGAAAGTGAGCAGTTCTGGTGGTAGCCAGCCAGCTAGGGACAAGGGACAGCAGGGACAGGGTTTGAAGTGTGAGGACGGACAGGGTTTGAGGTGTGAAGAACATCAAATTCAGAGGATGACACTTACTGTAAGTTGGGGTTCGGAACAGCTCTGCAGGGCTTGTGATGGTCCTCTCAGGAGGCTGTACCATGGGCTGTGTGGTGGAGAAGGACAGAGGCCCAGTTAAGAGGAAGCCACTCCTCATTACCCTTTCCCTACAAAGCCTTGTTGCAATCCTCTGGTCTTCCATCTCCTTCAGGCCCATGTCCGCCTGCTCTGTTCATTCCTAAAAGTTGGATTTTGTAACTGCTACCCTGGATGTGCCCGCAGGGCCAGCCACTAAAGGAGCACAGAGAGCTGTGTATGTACAACCCCGAGACATGCACTTGGGACTGTCCCCAGTATGTCCCCCGGAGTCGAGAAGTCCAGCCTGCCCCTGTCCCAGGCCCTCTGGACTCCATCCCCCAGAGCCTGAGTGGACTCACACACTCCCGGCAGTGGGCTCTGGTTTGCAGCTGTTCCTGGAATTTCTCCCGGGGGATCTGAGTCTCCTTGTCCCAGAATAGTAACTGGCGGCGGCGGCGGCGGACTGGTGGGCTTTCAGGGACTGGGAAGACTGGGGGCTTCCTCCGCTGGGTGGGGAGGAGAGGTGGAGGAAAGGCTACTCAGACCAGCTTTGAACCATCCTTGGCTCTGGGACAGAACACACCCCACTCCTGTGCTCAGGACCACCCTGGTGGGCTGCATACAAGCTCCTGGCCTGAGATGCCTGGGAAAGGGCTTGGGCAGCTCCCACTGGGCACGAGAAAGGTGAATCTGGGAAGTCAGGCTGATGAAACAGGGTGTGGGCTATTTTACCGTTTCTGTTACTAACTTGCATGAAGGCCCATGTAAGCCAGCAGGGACCTTGGGCTTGGGGAAGCTGACTAGGGTTGAGCAGCTCGGGAGGGGAGGGCACAGAAGTAGGTACTAACTTAGAAGGGGTACTACTTACCTCTGGGCTGAGTGGGGCTGGCAGAGGCAGCTTCTGCGGGGGAGTCACTTCTGCAACAATAGCACAGGTTCTGACTCTGCCCATACCCCATGTCCTTGTAGCCACCTGGGCAAAAAGCTAGAGGCGCCTCCCTTTAGCAAGTTGGAACACAAGGCTCCTGTCCAGTAGCGGTGCAGGTGCCCCCGGGAGGGCCCAGGTGTGGCAGGTACTCACCAGGAAGTGGGGGCCCAGGCTCCCAGCCTGGCACCTTCGGCGCCTCAAGGTCCAGGACCTCGCTTATAAGTGGCTCTGCTGGCCTCTCCACCCTGCGGGGAAGTGGGCAAGTGACATCCTTTCCAGCACTGATCCCCTACCCAACCCGGGGTTCCCGCCCTTACTGTACAAGAGTTGGAGGTGAAAGCGGGGGAACTGTGATTTCCCCCTCCAGGCCCCGGGGCTCCTCCTTAGACTCTGCAGAGAGAAGATCAGGGCTCAGAAGGCAGAAGAGGTGGGCAGCACTCCCTGCCTGTGCCAGGAGCATTACCGTCCAGTGCTGGGAGAGGCCTGACTCGCCGACGTTCCTCTAACAAGACTGCCTCATCTTCCTCAGCAATCAGCAGGTCCAAGTCTCGGCGGCTAACCTCGGGGAGCTCCTGCTCACCCTTTTGGGAGAGAGTAAGCAGAGAATGGGCATTCAATTGCATTTCTGACAAAGGCAAATGGACCTAGGAGACAGTCTGAGACAGACCACAGGATGAGGTGAAGAAGCTACTGGGTGCTCAGGTGGTGGGGCAGGGGCTGGGGAAATAGAGACAGAGAAGACAGGACTCTGAGGGCAGAGATGCAGATGCAAGGGCGCTGGGCTGTCAGAACCAGGACAGGCCACAGGTCCTCTGTGCAGGGGGACAGCGTACCTCGATTGGCAGCATGCGTATGGGCTCTGCCTCCTGGATGGTGATACGCTCAGGAGGCAGCACAGTGACTTGGATCCTTTCTGGAAGGCCAAGGAAGTCACACTACCCCTCTGCTTCTTCCCAAGCTTCTTCACCCATGAGGTGAGGCAAAAGCATGGATGCTGGAGCCGGGTCAACCTGTGTTCTAACCAGGTCCAGGCCAGTCACTGGCAAACTGATACTCGGTATATATCTTGTTCACTATGGACCTCTCTTTCCCCTCTGTAAAATGGGGGTGAGAATTCTGGCCTCAGGATGATTGAGAAGCAGTGAAGGGGTTAACGTCAAGAGCCCCCCCTATGGAGCCCGGTTCTTTAAAGAAGCTCAAAGATGGCCATTTCTTCAATTCTCGGCCTTCCTGTACTTTCCACCAAAAACATGGTCTGCTCACCTGGCTTCCTGGGCTCCGTAGGGACTTCAGGAAGGGTCTCCTCAAGAACTCTCTCTGGGGTTGCAGCCTCTAAGAGGTGTCGAATCTTTGGGGAGGGGTTGGGGACAAAAGAGATTCCACTTCAGCAGCTCCCCTTCCCACTTTCACAGCCTCATTCAAGTAATGGGTGGTGACAGCCCCTCATGCCTAATTCTTTTTTTTTTTTTTAAAGATTTATTTATTTATACAAGCACTGGGTACAGTCAGAAGCGCGGGAGGGTGAGAGAATTCATCAGAGCCAGAGCGGGGAGCAGAGCAGGCAGAAGGACCGAAGTACACTGCTGAGGGGAGCAGCGGGCGGCAGGAGAGGTCTGCGCACCATGTGGGACCCTCCTCTGGTGGCCGGGGAGCAGCCGGGGATCGAACTGGCGCTGCAGAGGCTGCGGGCAGCTTCACAACCCAGCGCTCAATCTCTGCGCCACCGGGGAGGCCCTTTGCCTAATTCTTTTTAAGATTTATTTACGCATACAAGAACTGGGGTGCATACGGGGGGGGCAGGGTGAGGAAGGATTAGGGTCAAAATAAGGGGGGGGTGCAATTGTATGGGGAATATAACCAAAATGAAAATGCATACATTGTGCAAAAATGAAAAATGATGTAAGAATTATATAAAATAAAATATTAAAAAAAAGAACTGAGGTGCAGGCAGAGGTGGGGGGGGTGAGAGGATTCACCAGAGACAGAGTGGGGAGCAGGACAGGCGGATCTACTGAAATACACTGCTGAGGGGAGCAGCAGGCGAGACAGGAGAGGTCTGCTGCACCATGTGGGTCACCTCCCTGGCTGGGGATTGAACACGTGCAGCAGCGGCTGTGGACAGCTTTGTAGTGCTGTGCCTTGACCTCTTGTACCACCAGGGAGGCCCTTCATGCCTAATTCTTGTGGTACTGGTATCAGCACACAGTGACCCCACTCACCTAGTCTCCTTTCCCCCCTATCGATCTGACCTTCCCTCTAGCCTTTGTCCATACGCCTATGTAAGAAGCACCTTATGTCAAGTGTTGTGGGGGACAAAAGGAATAGAAAAGTTCCCATGTTTGCCCTCAGAGTATGCAGCTACATTAGAGATACTATATCACACATACACACACACTTTTTCTCCATCACCCTTGTGTCCCTTTGTCCTGTTTCTTTGCCGCTCCCTCTTAACCTCAGGCCCCTCAGAATGTTGATGTTCAGTAATTTTTGAAAGTCTTTTACAGTGTCAAATTGTCTTTTATATGAATATCCAATATTTGTTTTTTTCATTCTGACTTGTTCAGCTGCATATAATTTTCTCAAATTCTCTTTATTTTGTTGAAAATGTCTGCATCTCATGATTTCCTGTGTCTAGGTAATATTCCATGGTATGTGCATACCACATCTCAGAAAAGATTCTTGATGTCAAGGAGTGTATGGCCTAGTGGGGAGACAAGTGTGAATAAAGCCCAACAAGTCAACACAAAGGATAAAACAAGGGGGCCTAGTGATGCACTGAATTCCAGAACACTTAATTCTGACCAGAAGTGAGATAACGGTATCACAGAAAATAGCAGCATCTGAAGCAGGTTTTTAAGGATATGTGAGACAACTAGTAGGGAATGAGGGGTGTCTATAAGGGGCTGGGGAAGTGGCATGAGCAAAGATATGAATGTGGCAGCTTTGGGATATAAGGGGCAAGACTGTTTGGGAACCACAGGTGCCCAGGAGACATGCTGAGAGATGTTGGGGGATGGCTAGCTCTGTACCAGGGCCCAGTGGGAGCCACTGGAAGTATCTTTGAAGGGAGTGACTGTCCAAGCTGTGAGAGTGTTAGGAATGATGGAGGAGAACATGGGTAGGGAAACCCAGTGCCAAGGGATAATGAGGGCCGGGATCAGGGCCTCCACTGTGGGAACTGTGTGGAGATGAGTGGAGACAACAGCTGCCTCTAGGTTGACCCTAAAGGTGAGTGGAGCAGGCTGTCTGAGGGTGCCACTATCACCGTCTCCTGCACCCTCCTGTGCGCTGAGATGTGGTAGGGCCCCTTTTAACCCAAATGTCAGACTAGCATAGGAACAGCGCCCCCTCTCCCCTGCCCATCAAGTCAGAGGTGTCCCAGGAGAATGACACCTACCTGAGGGATACTAAAGGGGCTGAGAAATCTGGGATCCACAGACATCATCCCAAAAAAGGGGTCTGGAGCATCTTCCAGGGTCTCCATCATGGCCAGGCAGCTAGGAAGCAGGCTGGGTCTGAGAGAGAATGGGGGCTGTCAAGGGCTGAGATTGAGATGGGCTGACACCAAGCAGGGGAGTTCACTACCAAAGGCTGGGTGGCCAGGGAGATGGACACTCACAGGTCGGTCTCCACCATGTCGATGCGGATCTGCATCTGCGCACGGTGCAGGCGCTCCAGAATGTGCTGGATGTCCTCTGTGGGCATAGAGAGCAGGTCTAGTGAGGGCTGTTCAGCTCTGCCCTACCTCCCAGCAGTCCCATCCTTACCTACGAGGTACTGGCATTGTTGAGAGTAGACCCGGATCACCCCAATTTGGAGCTGGGCTGAGAGATAGAGAGAGAAGCGGGGCCGTGGCAGGCCAGGCATCTGGGGAGGCACTCGTACCAGCACATAATCAAGGATTTCCTCGCTAGGGGAACAATATGCCCTGATGACCAGCGTGCCCACTCCTATCCATCCCCCAACCCCTCCACAAGCACACCAGGTTGAGTGCGCCACCCTTTTCTGGTCTTACCATGTCTTCACCACGTTCACCTTCAGGTATTCGCGCTTCACCAGCCGGCTGCCCCGGGTGGCTGCCAGCCTGGAGAGAGTGGAGGTAGGATGGAGCCGAGGTGACATCAGACCCCTGGGCACCCCCTACCGGCTAGCCTTGCCAGCCTGGCCCTTACCAGATGGTGGCGAAGCAGCCAGTGTGGCGCTGAAGCACGTTGGGATAGTAGAACATGGTCCCTTGTGGGTTTCACCCTCTTCTCCACCACTCCTGAATTCGGAGCTCAATCAGAAATCTTTACGGTGCTGGATTTCCCAACGTGGTGGTCAGAGAAATGTAAGAATTTGGACAGAGGGCCCTCCCTGGTGGCACAAGGGGTTAAGCACCGCATTATGAAGCAATCCACAGCCTCTGTAGCACAAGTTCCATCCCCAGCCAGGGAGGTGACCCACATGGCACAGCAGGCCTCTCCTGACTCACCCGCTGCTCCCCTCAGCAGTGTATTTCAGTCTATCTGCCTGTTCTGCTCCCCACTCTGTCTCTGGTGAATCCTCTCACCCCCCACACCTCTGGCCTGTACCCCAGTTCTTTATGCATAAATAAATCTTAAAAAAAAAAAAAGAATTTGGACGGGTGCCACAGCAGGTTACCCAGAATGCCAGAGAAATGAACTGATAAGCAACTGGAGGGCAAGTGATTGAGGGAACGAGAAGACGGAGGTGCACACTTGGGGCCGGGATGCCCCTCTCCCTCGGCCACGAGTGGGTTCGCACACCGCGTGGGTGCTTCGAACTTACTGGGCCTTTCCTGGTTGAGTTCTAGATTGCTGATGCAGAATTCTCGGCGCCTTAGCTCCCGAGGAAGCACGGGTACGGCCTGCAGGGATGCGGAGCGTCGCACCGGGGTCGCGGTCCGGCGGGGTCGCCCCGGGGCGGGACGGGACTAGATCCCGCCCCACGGAGCACGCGCTCGCTCGGGAGCCTGGCCCCGGCTCCCGCTTAGATGGCGGCGGCCCCTCGAATGGGGAACCGGTTGTCTGAGGTGCCCTCGATCCCCGGCGCCAAGGAGCCTGCCTGCGCTGGGGCAACAGGGGTCTCCCCGGGCCGGCAGCGAACCAATCAGGAGAATCCCGCGCGCGGCCGGGCCTTTGTGAGGTTTCCTGGCCAATGGGCTCTCGTCCCGGCCTCTGGTAACAAGGATTCCTCGGAGGCGCTTCTCTGCAGGCCAATGAGTGGGGAGCAAATTCCGGCCTCGCCCTCTGTGAGCCTGGTAACAAGGGCGGTTCAACTAGTGTGGGTGGTGGGGTCAAGCCGGGGGCATCTGCCCTGGCTGCGCTCGGGTCTTCCCGCCTGCGGTTACACCTTGTCCTTTACCCCCAATCCCAAATGATCGCCTGATTGGTCCGACTTTGTGCCCCGCCAAAGGCCCATCGGGAACCCGGGAGGTAGAAGGGTGTGTGGTGACCTCGGAGCCACCACAAGCCAATGGGTAGAAGTCAGATCTCACAGTGAGAGGGCTTGCTGGGTCATTGCCTAAATTTGAGCAGCTTCCATTGTAGTCACACCCCTTCTGCTGTTTAACACTTGTGAACGTGCTCTCCTGACTGAAGTAGACCTTAGCTTTGTTGGATACAGGGCACACTTCTCCACCTACAAAGCCATTGCCTCAAACAATTCTTTGTAAAATTAAGTTGTATGGTTACAGCCGTCCAATTTAATTTTTTACCGCTCAAAATTGTGCATTTAAGACTCAATTCTTTTTTTTTTTAAGATTTATTTTATTTATTTATGCATACAAGAGCTGGGGTGTAGGCCAGAAGTGCAGGGGGGTGAGAAGATTCACCAGAGACAGAGTGAGGTAGAACAGGTGGAATAACTGAAATACACTGCTGAGGGGGGCAGCAGGGAGACAGTAGAGGTCTGCTGCATCATAGGTGGGTTACCTCCTTGGCCAGGGATTGAACTCATACTTCATTGGCTGCCGATAACTTGATAGTGCTGAGACTTTAAACTCTGCGCCACCAGGGAGACCCAAGACTCAACTCTTAAGACTGAGCAGACCGTATTTATCTTGTGCCTTTGATCCATGAGCTCTTGAAATTGGGGTCTGGTTTTATCAGTTGGTGCCTGGCACCTACTTCAGTAAGTATTTGTCAAGGTGCAATTGCCCCAAATTTGTAACCACAGAACATTAAGGCTGAAAGAGATTTCAAAGTCTCGTCTGAGCCTTGTCTTTACAGATTAGAAGTTGCCCATATAATTTCTCCCAGGTCACACAGCTTCTTAGTGTCAGCATGGTTGGGAACTCTGCTTTCTTGATATTCTAGGTTCTCAGTTCCTATTTCACTCTGCTGGGCTGAATTGCTGTTAGCGGACAGAAATGAGGGGTACCCCGGAACCCCTTTGGCTTCTATATGACATTTAAAACTCTATCAATCACTGTACAAATGCTGTCAGTGTTTACGAGTGTTCACATTAGGGCACACTTGCTGAAGTGGGGGCACCTGCTCTGAGGTGCTTAGCTAAAGCCAGTTTCAGAGATAAGCAAAGGGGCACAGTAATTCATTCCTCTATGCAGTCACTTTATAAGTATTTTTTACATGCCAAGCACTCCAGCAGGCATGGGGATATAGCAATGGCCAAAACAAGTCCCTTTTCTCATGGAACAGGAGAGTAGACAAGTAGAAATGTATGATGATTGTTACTATGAAGAAAAGTGAGGTAGCACAGGAGAACAGCACAGTGCAGGCTGCTGCTGAAATCGGCCCTCAGGGAAGCCCTCTGGGAAAGAGCTAGAAGTCGTGAGCCCCCCTGAAGGAAGAGTATTTTTTTTTTTAAGATTGATTTATTTATGCATACAAGAACTGGGGTACAGGCCTGAGGTGTGGGGGTTGAGAGGATTCACCAGAGACAGAGTGGGGAACAGAACAGGCAGATTGACTGAAATCCACTGCTGAGGGGAGCAGTGGGCGAGTCAGGAGAGGTCTGCTGCGCCATGTGGGTTGCTCCCTGGCTGGGGATTGAACTCGTGCTACAGTGGCTGCAGATAGCTTCATAGGTTGCGCCACCAGAAAGGCCTGGGGAGAGTATTTTTAGACAAAAGAATCAGCAAAGGGTGAGGTTGAGGCCACATCACAAGGACTCTGGAAGCCATTGTAAGGACCTGGGGTCTTTTTCCCTGGATGAACTGAGAGCCAGGGGAGAATTTTGAGCAGAGTGACGTTTGTCAGAAAGATCTCTACCATGTGGCGCACCGACTGATGGGGAACAAGAGTAGGAACAGAAACGAAGATGTGGAAGGAAGCAGGAAGGAGAGGTGAAAAGCAACAGCGGGGGAAGGCAAGAGAAGAGGTCAATCCTGGGTAGATTCTGAAGGAATCATGAGGGAACTTGCTGACAGACTGCATGTTGGGTGTGAGGGAAAATGGAAGTCAGAGGGGAGAGCCGGTAGGTAGGAGGGACTTCAGCAGATCAAGGGCACAATAGCGCTTGTGCCCTGTGCACTCAGTACCTGGCTTCTTCACGGCAGATGCCTGTTTGGGCTCTTGTCTTCTCAGGAGGATGATGGGCCAGACTAAAGAAAAGGAAGTTCCAAGGAGACAGAAAGCTTCAAAAGCTGTACTAAAGTTTGTCAATGAGATGGCAAGATCCTTAAGGTTCTAGGCATCTGGGATTGGTCGTGGAGGTAAGCCTCTGATGGCCTGACATGGTGGGAAGGAATCTGGTCTGGGGAGTCCATTTTTCCAACCTGGGGTCTTGTGCAGGAAGAGGGAAGCTGAAGGCTAGAGGCTGTGGCAGTCAGAGAAGCAGAGTCTGATCTAAATAGTCTGGAAGAAGTGATTATACAGAGGTGAGGTGCCAAGTGGCCTGGTGAAGGAAGAACTTCTAGTTTGGTGGTAAAAGAAACAGAGAAGAGAGGCGTGCCAGCTGACTTGGAGCCCTCATATCTCAGTGAAGAGTGTTGGTGACGTGACGGTCTATGCCAGATTATCCTTTGTGGGTTTCAGATGGAGCGAGGGAACTAGCTTGGAGTACCCTTGTGAGTAACCTTCAGATGAGTGCTGGGAAAAGAGGCACCAGAGGGGCCTCCCTGGTGGCGTAAGGGGTTAAGCACCGCACTATGAAGCAATCCGCAGCCACTGCAGCACAAGTTCGATCCCTGGTCAGACAGGGAGCAACCCACATGGCAAGGTATACCTCTCCCATCTCGCCCACTGCTCCCCTCAGCAGTGTATTTCAGTCAGTCAGCCTGTTCTATTCCCCACTCTGTCTCTGGTGAATCCTCTCACCCCCCCGCATCTCTGGCCTGTACCCCAGCTCTTGTATGCATAAATAAATAAATCTTTAAAAAAATAAAAAAAGAGGCACCAGATCCCATCTGCCCCCGGCACAGCATGTCTAGACAATTCCCTAATTTCCACTCCACCTCCAGGCCCCAGGGTCTCTGCTCCATAGTTTCAGGCCAAGTTCAAGCTCTCCTTTTAGACTCCAGTCCCGTGTCCAGCCCTAGGCCTGTTGTAAAGGCCAAATTAGAGGGCTCTAGCATAGAAATGTGCACCCAGGTTTTCCCTGTGACGCTGGTTACAGGCTCAGCACCCCTCTTGGCTGCAAACACCAACCTTCTCCCTAAAGCTGGTACCTACAGGGTAGAGTCAGGGTCAGAACCCCCTGAGCCCAGACAGCTTCCTGGCCACATCCTGTGGGGAGGGGGAAGTTGAGGCCCAGAGATGTCCACAGGGAGAGATGCCAAATGCCCTGCTCTCAAGTGTGTATCTTCTCATCATCCTGCGATCCCTTCTTCTCCCAAAAGACAGATAACAGTTTCACTTTCAATAAAATTTACTTTAAGTCTTAGTGAAAGACGAATATAAAGTGCTTGCCTTCAGACTTGGGATAAGAGGAAACAGTCCCCTGAGTTCATACCATCTCGACTTTCCCAGGTCCTCAGAGATGAAAGAGGGCATATTTCAATATTTTTTTTTTATAAGGGTAAAAGTCAACCTTGAGTTTCCCACCAGCCAGGGTACATGAGGAGTTCAGGGACGTAACGATTATAGAAAACACTGAGAACTGTCACCGAGGCGGGCAGGTGAACAGGGAGTATAAACAGTCTCACTCAAAGGAGCTAGGGAGAAGAGAGCAGAGGAGGAAGGGGGGTCCTCCAAGCTCTGCACCAAGGATAGTGTGGCTGCCTGCTCCTCCTTAGTCTCCTTCAGCCAGTGTCGGGCAAAGGCCTGCTCCATCTGCACCAGAAGAGGTGGGGAGGAAGGTATCATGAGCACAGGAGGAAGCCCCTTCTGGCAATACCCCCGGCCGTCCCCTGCCCGACTCACCTGCACTGTGACCAGACAGTTATCATGGGTATGGCTGGGGCCAGGGCTCTCCTCCCAAAAGTTCAGTGTCACCTGGAATTTGGGTGGTGGACCCCGGCCCTGGGAGAACCTCTCGAAGTCTAGAAGAGAAGGGTAAAGTGTGGGAAGAAGGAGAAGAGAGGATCACAGGCAGGCAGGGAATAGGGAGGAGCCATAATGGAGAGAGAATGATGGAAGGGGGCTGCTTGGAGGCCAAGGCCAGGGCAGGAGCTGCAGGGTCTCGACCTGTCGCTTTGGGTCAGGGAACCGGCTAAGATCCCACTTGCTGCTCAGCCAAGCACAAATGAGAAAACCGGCTCCTTCCTTGAGCACCAAGTGCCTAGAGGCAGCCAATTACCATCAGCTCTGCAGGCTCTGTGGGCGTCAGCTCCCCCCAGGCAGTGGCCCTGACTGCTACCTCTTTTTGCCTGCTGCTTCCACCTTCCTTCTGCTGGGGCACCCACAGCCCTGGGAACACCCACGCTCTGTGTGTCTAAATCTAAAATAAGATTTGGAACTGAATGGAGGCAGGAAGAATTCCAGCATGGATGGGAGAGAGGGGCAACCTTAGGGGATGCCTGCAGCGGGTGGGGGGCAAGGTGGGGGGCATGCGCCGACTCTCCCAAATGCGTGTGGTTGTATGCACCTGCGTAGGTGGGCTCCCCCCCATTGTTGTGTGCGTCAATGAGATGTGTGCCCTGAGATGCAACACTCTCATTACGCCCTCCCTTGGCCCCATCTTCCACAGCCACGGCAGGAAAGGAGGGCTGCTGAGCCTGGCTATGTGGAGCATTTGCCTGAGGCAGCAGTGGGTGGTGCCTAGGACCTCCCAAGTTGGGCGTAAGAGGTGACTAGCGGGGCCTCCCTGGTGGTGCAAGGGGTTAAGTCTCAGCACTAGGAAGCTATCAGCAGCCACCACAATATGAATTCGATCCCCGGCCAGGGAGCAAACCACATGGCGCAGCAGACCTCTCCTGACTCACCCGCTGGTCCCCTCAGCAGTGTATTTCAGTCAGTCTGCCTGTTCTGTTCCCCATTCTGTCTCAGTGAATCCTCTCCCCACTGAAAAAATTTCTGGTCTGTACCCCAGTTTTTGTATGCATAAATAAATCTTTTTTTTTTTTTTTAAAAAAAGGTGGCTAGGGAGCCAGGTGCTCTGCTAGAGCAGCCTTACCTCTGAGGAAACAGGCGGTTGTGAAGAGCTTGACACACTCCTTGCTGGGGAGCAGATGTGGGCCTGGGCCTGATGGGGCCTGGGGCGCATTCCAGGAGATGGGGATTGGGCAAAGGCGCATTACATAGAGGCCTTGGGAGTTGCTGGCCACCAGGACACCTCTCTCGACCTGGTTCAGCAGGCGCTGGGCAGCCTCTTTTGGGCCTGGCTTGGGAAACAGCACCTGCTCTATGCCACACTGGTTATCTAAGAGCTCAGCCACCAGGCGGCAGTCCAGGCTCTGCACCTGGGCCTCCCCTGCCTTACGCCCATTGTAGAAGAAGGTGAGCAGCAGTGAGTAGTCGATGGACACAGAAGGGTCCCACAGCACCGTCTCTTGCAAGCAGTCCTCTTGCTCAGCTTGAGATTCTGGGGAAAGGAAGAAGAGCTCCGTGCAAATCCAGTGTCCTTATTTTTTGATGAGGAAAGTGAGGCCCGGAGAGGGAAACCAAGTGAGGGCCTGGAGGACAGGTAGGCTTCTGAGGTTAGAACAGTGGTGCTAGGCTTTTCCATCACTCAGGAGAGCAGCTGATACACATATGCCCACCGAAACCCCGGAGGCTTACTGCCTGAGTCTTGCAGCTTACAAGAATGTCCCAGAGACTGGACCTTTGCTTAACCCACGGAAATCAACGTCTCAAAGAGGATTCTAGGAAATAGTGTTGGGAGGGTATTTTCAAGAAGCAAGCTGCTTGGAGTCTGGGGTGTGGTCAGGTATACTGTCTGGAAACCCGAGCCTCTCTTTAGTGGGCCCTGACAGAGTCAATATTGGTAAGCCCTGACAGAGTCAATAATGTTGACTTTGGGGCCAATAATGGCCCCAGGAAGACCACCTGTGGGGACAGATGCAGGGTTGGCTGAGAAACAAAAGTACCTGACTTTGGAAGAAGCAGAAGCTCCAGGCATGCTTCATCTCTTTGGAGAAAGGCTTGGATTGTGTCTGCACCTGGAAGGCGGGCAGAGGCACTGGTCATTCAGACTGGGAGTGCAGGGCTCACAGGGTGGCACAGGGCTGGCACGGAAGGCAGGGAGGTGGTACCTTTCTGAGGCTCAGGGCTGCTGCTGCTGCTGCTGCTGTTACTGCTGCTCTTGCTGTTACTGCTGCTCTTGCTGCTGCTACTTCCAAAGTCAGAGCAGCCCACACCCCCATCGGCCTCCACCTCCTCCTGCAGACAGTGTGCATGTTGGCCTGCCTCTCCCCGAGTGACTGTCCTGCCTTCTGGCCCACTCAGGTCCCTCCTCAGCTCTTACCCTTTGGAGGGGGTCCTGCGGCAGGGAGGGACTGAGTATGCACTTTTTCACGATGCCCTCAAACTCCTTCTCAGAGGACACAGAACTTTGGTGTCGCTTTGATGGTGATTTCTGGATTTCTGGCTGAGCTGTGGAACCTTGTTGAGGGGAGAGAAAGGTCAGAGTCCTAAGTGGGAAGAAAAGGTAATGAAGGGAAAGGACAGACAAGGGAATTGGGTGCAGCTGCCCCAGGACAGGGCCCGGCTGAACTGTGACTGAAGGAGGGCCTCCGCACCCCCGGCAGGACCCTATCGCTGTCCCTCCTCCCAGTCTGCTGGGTTGGGGATCCTCACCAGGGAGGGTTCCTTGTGGCAGCAGCCGATACACCTTATAGGGTTCAGGCCCATCCATTCGGCCCCTCTCAGGAACCTCTTCAAATTCAGGACTCTTGTTGAGGGCACAACGCAGGCGAGTCTTCCAGGTCGCAGGGCCTTCCATGTCCCCGTTCTTGTATTTTCCCTTATACATTGCCCAAGCCTAGGAACAGAGAAAGTAAAGAAGAGGCAGTGTATTGCAGGCCCCAGCTGACCCTCCATCAAGCTGGCCTCATAGACATGTGGCCTGAAGAGCTTGTGCAAGCTTTACATTCTGCCCTCGCCATCTTGAAATCCTTCATAATTTTTGAATTTTCATTTAGCACTGGGCTCTGATAATTAGGTAGCTGGTTCTACCCTTCCACCTCCTCTTTATCTGAAAGCCAGGTCAACATAACCCCTTGATAGTTGAGCACCAGTGTATACTCCATCCCCCCACTTAGAGGCCAGTTTCCAGGCCCTTTCACCTTGAAGAAGGCAGCATCCTGGTCTTCCCGGAAGTCCTGCTTCCCCGCATGCTTCCAGGGAATCCGGAACATGGTCTTTTCTTTATCTTCCCAGCATACCCCTGGGAACTGCCCGCTCTCCACTTGTTCCACCACCCAGTTCCGGAGCTTTCGGGTGCAGCGTGCCCTGCCTGATGCCATCTTGGGGGAAAAGAGCAGCAGGAAGCTTCAGCAGCATCAACAGTTCTGGAAGGAACATCCATGAGATCCTGGCCATCAGGGCTGGACGCTGGCCAGGGCCTCCAGAGATCCCACCCTCTTTCTTCTCTAGACGTATCTGAAAATGTTTGCCCTCTGCCAGTCACGAACAATTACCAAAAATACATTCTTTATACCTTGCCCAGCTGTGACATCTAGGAAGAAACCTTAGGCATGGGTCTTTGTAGGAATCTACTGTTAGGAAAAGACTTTGTAGGAATCTACTGTTAGGAAAAGAGACTTCTCTTGGGGTTCCATTCCTAGTGAGGCCCTCTGTAGTTGCCCAAGTTTTTGCAGAAGCTTCAGAGGTGCCCATGGACCATCTTTACCCACCACCCTACAACTTGTCCTTTGACCCCCATCCTGCATGGGCAGGTGGGGCAGGGAGCTGAAGGAGTAGGCAGGGCCAGAAGGCAAGAAAACAAGAGCAGTAGGAGCTTTCCGAAGAACCCAGCAGCAGGTCTTCCCTTCCTTTGCCTAAAGGTTAGACACCAGCCCATAGTCAGTCTCTCACTCGGGTTAAACCTCCTGCGCCTGGCTCACCGCCTTTTATCTGTTCCTGTCTAGCAGAGAGGTCCCCACCCACACCTCCAAACCCACTGGACCTTCCAGCCAGCCCTGGACCCAGGCTGACCTGCCCGTGGTCCATCTTACCTGAGCGGCAGTGCAGGTGGTCCCAGTGCTCAGCTGACCTCAGCTCGGCGGCTGGCTAGGCAGTTCCTGCTCTCTGCCCGGCCTACAGTCCCCACCCTAAGTTTCAGTTCTCCCGGGAGGTCCGTTTCCCAGAAATCACGTGATCGGAGTTGCCAGGCAGCTGGTGGCCACTAGAGGGAAGCAGCGTCCGAGGAGTTCCCTGTCGGACTCCCACTGTCAGTGCGGGCAGCGCACCCGCTGGCCTGGCGGGGCTCCTTTCCCTTCCTCCCTAGGACACCCCTTGCTTTCTTTGAGCCATCTGAAGGTGCTGCTTCCGCAGGGAGGCACCAAGGTCCTGGAGTCTGGCCCGAGGCTTCTGGATAGCGCTGGACTGCCAGTGCCTCTGTTTCCCTAGAGTGTCTGCTTGGCTCCTAGCAGGTGTCCTCAAATAGCAGCTGAAGTGGATGAAAGAGGAAAGGCAAGGAAGGAGGAAAGGCAAGGAAGGAGGAAGGCGTCAACTCCTTCCTGGCCCTGAATCCGGGAGGGTCAGGTGGTGAGCTGCGGAGTGGGGGGTGGGCCGCCGGCCGCCCTTTCAGCAAAATTTCAGCAAAATTCTGTTCACTGCCCCCCACCCTTTCCCTGATGTCCCCAAATGGTGGGGCCAGGAAGAAGGACCAACAAGAAGCCTGGGCAAGAAGATGCCTCTTTATTGGTGCTGAAGCTGTTCCTGAGGGAGTCCAGCCACGGGACCCTTGCCCTCAGCTACTTCCTCCTGCGGGGGATACTCTGTCCCAAGGGCACCTCTTCCGTCAGCTTCTGCAGAAGGAGAGAGAAAATGATGACACTGGATGTCGGGAGCCTCAGACACAGGCTGGACCAGGGACTCCTAGAGTGTGGAGTCAGAGGCGAGGCTGGGTGGAGCTTTTACCTGTAACAGGCGGGTGTGGTAGTTGGGGGCATCCTCCCCGGGCAGCGGCTGGGGGCGTATGTGTAGGTAGCGCTCCACAGCTGTCTCCAGCTCCTCCACCTCGTACAGGGTGGCTGGGTCCAGTGAGTGGGCATTGATGAGGCTCACAAGATACTCTTTGTAGTGTGCCCTGGAGAGGCGAGAGGACTGAATATCTGTTCTTTTTGGGCTGATATTAGGCAAGTGTACCTAGCACCTTGCTGGGTACTGGCATCCTCAGACGAACAAGATGACAGCCCTCACCTCGACAGCATAACTAGCAGGTCTCGTTAAAGACTCATATGTACATGTAGGCACTGCCAACCTGTGCACCATCTATCCATGCCCTTGTCCAGAGTGCCCCCTCCTTCCCCTTTCCTTGCAGAATCTACTGCTTACAGAGATCCACTTTACTTCCTGGGCAGATCCTTACTGCTTCTATGCCTACCACCCCAACACCAGGGGTTGCCCTGTCTGGCACTCACTGGCAGAGGCCGGCATGGCCAGCTGGAGTTTCCTTGCCACAAGCTTCATCTCGGAGCACGTTGGAAACCTCTTTTTGCTCCATCACTCGACAGCCACCTAAGGTAAGGGAAAGGGACTCTTGGTTGGAAGGAAGCCACAGACCACAAAGCTCCAGAACCGAGAATGACAGAGGCATGGGCAGCAGCTTCCAGGCAAAGCATGAGGACAGGAGCCCTGGTCTAATAGTGGTGGTGATGGGTGGTAGTGGGGTACTTAGATCTGCCACCACAGCAGGCCAACTGAGGAACAGAGATCTGGCTGCCCCAAACTGACTCTGAGTCTAGACTCACTGCCTTGAGACACTCCCTTGAGATAGCTCTTCTGATTGTGACTGAGATCTTACATAGTTAAATTATACTGTTAAGGTTTTTCTCTATAGAGCGCAGGAAGGGGGGAAGATGAACCTATGTGAAAAAAAAAAAAAAAAAAGAACCATGTGTGACATCTTTCTGTGGCACTCATGCAACCGGACACAGTGCAACTAGCAGGTCTTATTAAATATTCAAGTTAACTGATAAACATTATTATTTGGAATTGGGAGAAGGAAATTAGTATGGAGATACCAGGCGCTTTAATGTGGCTTTAGGTAAAACAGCTTGGCTGCAAGATGAATGGGGCCCCCACTTTACAGAGGAAGAAACAAAGGACCCCAGAGGCTGAAGGTCTGTCCTAACACTCACCTCCAGGAACCGTCCGTGCCCCTGCTGGGGGCTCTGTGTTAAACATGACATTATTGTCCTGAGAAGGAGCAGACAGGTGGGCGTTAGGTTTTGATGCCAGTCCACAGAATTTCCAAGCACCACTCTGGGCCCTCCTCTCCTGGGGAACCCACAAACCCAGCCAGGCTGGCCACCCCTGACCTGTAGCAGCTTCTGGAGCCGGACAGCAGTCCAGTCCCGAAGGTAGAAGAGGCAGTCTCGGGGGTGGTGGCCGTGCAGGGACTTCTTCACCCTGCAGTTAGGGTCTGGGCATTTCTGGCAGAAAAACCAGATGGGAGAGGGGAAGTTGGAGACTACTGGGAACCTGGCCGTTCAGGCACCCTGGTATGAGGGGTTTTGGGGCAGGGGGAGATGGAGACATTGGAGGGTCTGGAGCAAGCAAAGGGGCAGAGGGGACAGAGGTGTGCTGTATACCCACAGTCTCCTCATCCCTTCCCCTGGGCCACTCCTCACTGGCTTCTGCCCCTCACACCCATTGGAGCCTTCCCTCCATTTTCATCCCTGGGCATTCTCTGGGCTCACATTCTTGGCGAAAAAGGCATTGTAGCAGCCACTGCAGAACTGGTGGCGGCACTGGGTGCAGTGAAAGTGCATGCAGCCTCCTCGGGCCAGTGCGTATGAGAACTTGCACTTGGGGCAGTCTGCAAGGGACAGCAGGTCAAGTCTGGGATGGCCCCTGCTCTCAAGGCCCTCAAGAGAGCGCCTGGCAATGAGAGACTACAGGCCTGTTGGGGCAGCCTCACCAATGCCATTTTCCTGAAGATACATTGCCAAGCCCTGGGCCTGGTATTCTGGGTCATTGTTGCGCTTCCAGTCCTGGAAATCCTCGCAGCTGCGGCCTCGGTGCTGTTCCTCCCACTGCCAGAAGGAAGCAAGCTGGCTTCACATGTAAGCTCATCCAGGCCCCTTCTTGCTGGGCCCTCCACATATGTCCAGTGGTCCCTGGCTTATGTCACTGTCAGACACCACTGGTTCAAGTCCCAAAATGAGGGGCCAGGCTTGATTCTTTCATTTCCTCATACCACCCCATGATTCCCCCAACCAAGCCCATCTCAGTGTGACCTCCTTTTCTCATCCCTATTGTGACCATCTTACTCCAGGCCAGGTCAGGTCTTGCCTTATCTACTTTTTGGGCTACTAGTTTCTCCACCTCCAGTCCTGATCCCCTCTGGTCCATTCTCTACCTTACAGGTGAAGTGCCTTGAAAAGTGTAAATCAGGGCCTCCCTGGTGGGGCAAAGGGTTAAGATGCAGCACTATGAAGTTATCCACAGCCACTGTAGCACCAGTTCGATCCCTGGCCAGGGAGGTAAAACCACATGGCACAGCAGACCTCTCCTGCCTTGCCTGCTGCTCCCCTCAGCATGTATTTCAGTCGGTCGGTCTGTTCTGTTCCCTGCTCTGTCTCTGGTGAATCCTCTCACACCCCCACCCCCCACACACACCTCTGGCCTGTACCCCAGTTCTTATATGCATAAATAAATAAATCTTTAAATTAAAAAAAAAAAGTGTAAGTCAGACACTTTCAATGGTGGTGTGTTTTAGTTTTGACATTTGGTGAGAAGTTCTCAGCGATTCATCTTTTTATTGTGTCTCATAGTACTGATGCAAGTTTTTGGTGTCTAAGACTAGCTTAGTCTTAGAATGAAAAGCGAACGCCTTCCTCACCTGGCCTCAAGGCCTCGCCTGCACTGGCTGCCTGCCCTCACCCCTTGCTCCTACCTAGGCCATAGCCACACAGTGCTTCTCTCTGACTTTGGCCTTCCTGCCTGTTGTTCCTTCTGTTCCGAATACTCTTTTTTTTTTTTTAAAGATTTATTTATGGGCCTCCCCGGTGGCGCAGCGGTTGAACGCTGGGTTGAACGCTGGGTTGCGAAGCTGCCTGCAGCCTCCTCAACGCTGGTTCGATCCCCAGCTGCAGGGCGAGGGTCCCACATGGTGCGCAGACCTCTCCTGCCACACCCGCTGCTCCCCTCAGCAGTGTACTTCGTCAGTCTGTCTGCTTTGCTCTCCGCTCTGCCTCTGGTGAATTTTCTCACCCTCCCGCGCTTCTGACTGTACCCAGTGCTTGTATAAATAAATTAAAAAAAAAAAAGAAAAAAAAGATTTATTTATTGGGCCTCC